GCCATCCAGATAAAATAAGTGATTAAATTGCCTCTCTAAACCTGGTACAGTAGTGCAAATTAGCGAAACTGTCAGATTATATCTTAGTAATTTCACAATCTATGAGAATTGCGAAACAGAAAGCTGTATTTCTATGGAAAATTTGTGACAGCTGTCATGAGTACAAGATTAGACATTCCTGAATAACACCACTTATCAGCTTAGGTAATTTCTCTGTTCTAATACAATCACAGACGTCTGAGTGTATAGCAGTTGTTGAATTTCAGTCTCGTCATATGACTGACTAACCTGTCCAATAGTCAGTGTCTTCATGAACTGATTCTATGTCTTGGTTTGGCCGTCCCAACTTTTCTTTCAACCTTCTACATCAACCACCATTTCCCATCGAGGTATTCGGTTGTTGGGTATACGTAGCAGATGTCTTCACCATCTTAGTCGATAAAAATTCACTACCCCTTCAATAAATTAGCCATCCTTATCTTGTATTCCATCTAGCTTCTGGATGGCTAACTTGATGGTCCTAAAGTACATGAGCAGTGGTTCAAAGACGCCCATAAAGTAGAACAGTGCAGATTGCTGGGCACTAAACTCGGCCTGTGACTTGGGAATGAATATATATATATATATATATATATATATATATATATATAGTGCCTCCTTTTATCAATATTTGTGTTCAAATAAATAAATAATCCTGAAGTAGCATCTTACACTTGGACAGAGAGAGAGAGGACCTCATCCCAATTATGTTTGCATTGTTGCTTAAGGTGGTCAGAAGACTGCATTTTGTCAGTGTCTTCATCAAATAGAACTATATTACCTACGTGTTATAGGTCAACAAGTTAATTTCCTGGTATATCAACCCCTAAAAGTTAGACGACGAGATAGGTACTTCTAAAAGCATTTCTGTGGCGAAGACAAAAATGAGGAAAAAAGATAACCCGGAAGAACATTTCCAGTAATAAATCCTGATGACAACTCTTATTCCACCAGTGGTGTTCGAATAGAGAGCCTGTACAAGGTAATGTACTTCTATGGTACATCTTTCAATGTCAGGCACTGTCATGAAATCTCTCGGTTTACAAAATCAAATGCTGCCTTAATGTTGAGAAATGTAGCTATAGTTGCGAGTCGGTGGGTATGTTTGTGCACCGGAACCTGGGCAAGCGCGGATATTTGCTCCATACATCTATGTCCAGGTCTAAAACTAACCTGGTTTTCTCGAGTTCGCTCTTTACGGGCTCTAGATAGCCGTCAAAGTATTGTTGAGGGTAATATTTTAAGCACTGTATTAACCAAACTGATTCTTCTGTGATTGTCTCTAGAGGATTTTTGTCCTTTCTTATAGACTGGGACGATCGGCGATTGAGACCAGTTATATGAGATTAAGTTCATTCTCCAGATTCTAGCTAAGGACTCAGTCAATCAAACTGCTGAAACTGGGCCACCATACTTAAAAATCTCAGGGGCTAATCCATCAGGGCCTGCTGCTGTTTCTTTGAGATTAGTTTTGAATTTCTCCACTTCTTTGAGAGTCGGAGGCTTATGTTGACATTCCAGTTAGGATGCTTGGTAAAAGCAGGTAACTGAAGGGTGAATGTAAAGCAGTTAAACTTCTCCTACCCATCGTCTAAGTCTCCAGGGTTGATAGTAAATCATTGTTTGATCTTTTTCAGAAATAGTCCTGGTGACTCCCGAATATTTAATACCTGTTTCTTTAATATCTTAAAAGTTATCAACTGATGCATATTGCCACCGTCTTTCCCGTCGCTCTTGCTTTATCCTCGCACCACTGTTCACGATCATTGCGTAAACTCTGAGTTGTCTTTGCTCCACATCATATTCGAAGCCTAATGGGATGAGTTTTTGAGCATCTATCATTTAAGTAGATGATACTAAAATCCACTGATTTCCCTTAATCTTTTGGTTATAGTCACCCACAGATATCACTGTTATTTTAACAGCTGACTGGATATCATCCCAACCCACATCAGGGTGAACATAGGTCACTTTGGCGATCACCCAACTGCTTCCCCATTTGTTTATGAAATATTCTTTTGACATTTTCGTCGTTAAGTTGAACTTGAAGGAGTTTTCTTGCTATGGTTTTTCTGCATTCAGTCTGTCACAAACAAACATGTGTCAGTATCAGAGCATGATCTAGACATATTCTTCAGAATGAGCGGCGGTCTTCTATCGAGCCTTTCCGACAATGGCTGATGGCGATATGATCTATTTACGTCTGTCGCCGAGTCGACTGCGGGGGTCTCCATGGTTGACAATGTCTCTTAATGCTTAAAGATGGTGCTTCATAGGAATAAATGGTTGTCTGAACATAGTTACAGCAGCCGAACGTCGTTGCCTATTCGCTGAGCTGCGACACTGTGAAACCCATGTAAGCGTCTTTCACTTCGATTTAAACCAAGTGCTTTGGCGCTAAAGTCTCCTGCTGTTATCACTACGCCCGATAGTTTGGTTTTTTAGGAGAGCAGAAAGCTTTCTATAAAACCTATCTGTTACTTTATCCGGACTGTAGTTAGTGGGAGCGCAGGCAGATATGACGGAGAGGCGATGGCGTGTATCCCTATCTTTCCGTGTTGGGAGGCTTTTCAACTTAACATTTCAAACTGGTAGACGTATTTACGATATTTTATTGAGGGTGGTTGTGGTTATGCAATACTTTTCTGGTGTATATCCTGGAATACCCTTCACATTCATACCTGTTGACTAGTAGAGAATCTATTAGGGTCAACACCTTTTGGTGTTGCTATAATAGTATCTATTACCGTAAGCTTTCTATACCTCGATATTATTGTGAACCTTGTGTTTTGGCAACGTCACGTAATTCAAACCTATTATATTTGGTCGCTTTCTATTGTACAATACCATATATACTGTGATGTTTATGCATATAATTATATTTTCTTGAAGTGTGATATCTGTTTTGAAACTCTTGTCCTCTCGAGTTCACGTGGTTGTCATCAGTGAAGTATCGTCACGTATTTGTTATTATTTTATTTTATTTTAACACATAGATATTGGTACAAGAAGGCACCAAATACATATGCGCCACACAAATCTTATTCGATATGTGCGAGGGCTGTGACACTGCCCGGGTGCCCAAACCGAAGCAGGTGGTTTTCTTAGGGGGCCACTCCCCGAGCCTTTGACCTAGAGGTCTTACCCACAAGGCAGTGGAGCATCGTAAGGAGATGCAGTCCCATGGTAGCCGGTGACCAACGATTGGTTCATACGCCATTTGTTCCCGCAGGATACTGGAGCCCATGTGCACCATCAGTTTGGGATCCGGTTAAAGCGCCGGACATTCGCTTTTCGTCCTCTCATTTTTGTAAATAACACCCCCGCCACGAGAAGGCAGTGAGTAGGACTTCCCTGGCAGAGGCTATATACGCGTGGCCATGTGAGAGCATTTCGAGAGGGAGAGCGGACTTTCCCCACTCTCGGCCGTACCAGGGCATTTGTTATAGATCAGTTCCACATTTTTGACCCAATTCAATTATACAATTAACAGACTGGCAGAATCTTAGTGAAAATCCAAATTAAGGACATTTTGAACATAAAACACTGTTTCTGTGTCTAACATTTACAGTTTCCATTTATCAATCCATCTGGAACAGTGCAGGACCAAGTATAAAGTAATATTGGTTCCTTTTAATGTAAAGCCTGATAAAAGAATGTATTAGAATGGTAGCTTTGGTGAAATTACAGTAATCATGGGTGATACCTATTAAATGTGTCTAAAAAAGTTCATCTAGTGTCAACGCTTTATTTCACTGGATTCTCTTGCCGGATTTTTAACTAAACGTAGAATCTTTAGCGTTTTTGTAAATTTTTGCTTGTCTGATATGACAAATGTTTCCTATGGGTTCGATAGATCCTATCCTTGTAATTGGATGTTATGTTGCGACATCGATTCTGAATCACCGAATCGTGTTTGATGTGTGTGTTAGCCTGAATCTCGAATGTATACCCTAGGTCATGAATAGTGTCATACCTGTGTACCGGAACCTAATGAAGTATTAATATCTGGCCGGTTGGTCATGAATATGGTTTGTCTCTGACTGTATAGTGGGCGGATGTTTACAGTAAGTCCTAAAGATGATTTGATTGTTTGAATCTTAAAACTTACTGTGGAGCAGTAATATTTTGATGGAGTTTTGTTCTTTCTCATTGTTTACTTCTTTGTTTTGGTTGGAAGCTCCACGACCAAACCATCCAGCTCAGAGAATAAAACTCCATCAAAATCAGCCACCTGAGCTACAAATTTTCTCCACTAGGAGCAGTAATATACTAATTCTAAAGAATAAATTGATTATTCAACTTTTCGACCTTAACAGATGAATTAAGATTTGCAGGTAAATTGGCCATGTCTGAAAATTATCATGCTTCTCTCGATAGCAAGAGACTAACCCTATTCGTGTCTATTTTATAGGAATAGTTGATATGTCGAATTCATTTTTCATGTTTATTATTGTTTGATATTGGTCATCAGTCTATGCCTATTGTTTTGCTGAATTATCCCATCTCACCCCAATACAAAGTCTTCAACCGTGTATATATTTCATTGTTTTTTCTTTCTAGGTGGCAGATGATACAGTCGACCAAACTGTTGATTCAGAACAGAGCTTAGGCTTGGATTATGTTGAAGAAATACAACCACTACACAACTCTGTCTCGTTAACACGTACTGTTTGATAGCCATGAATTGTTATATTCAATAGTGACGTGAAATTTTCTTAGGTTTCAGGTTGTTTTCCCTTGATTTCTGCATCGTATAACAATGATTCAATGTTTATTTTCTAGTGTTTTGTACTATCTGTTCCCTGATTTGCAGTTCGTTTACAGCTATCGTTCTAGTAATATTTCCATTCAATTAACAAATCATAATCGAATGATAACCTAAATTTCCATGTGTTAATGCTAAAAATATATCAGTGTATAAAACATCATATATGTTTACTGCTTAAATAAAACATCTTTGATGGGAGACTTTCTATTATGTTTTCATAGTTTACCAATAATAAGACATTTATTAAAAATCAAAACAGTATTTTAAGCTGCATCCGGTGTAACTTTTTTTGATATTTGAGCATTATGGGTTTTAAAATACTACTATAAAATAAAGGCACATTTCAGGTTTTGGTATCAAGGTGTGAGATAAAATTTGTTTGTAAAAATATAGGCTCTGTAGAAGGATTGTAACCAGAGTTCATGAAATTTTTCATGAAGACATTATTCCATTGAACGGATTTTCTGTATGTTTCTCCAAAGGCGAAGCACTGTCCCACCACTGAAATGATTGTGAAAACAAAAGTGCCGTCAGTTAAATTTGGACACTTAGCCTGTTGTTAGTACTGTTTTGCTTTTACATGCTTATGCTGTATTACTTGCCGAATGGTGTTTTAAATGCCGTTCGTCACAAGCACATCGCAAATAATTCCACGGTTATATGACATTTTTTAATAGTATCATGCTTTCATTTACTCAGTTACAGTAATAAAATAGTTTATTTATTATCCATCAAAGTTTTTAGATTGTCCTAACTCAATAAATACTAGATTTTAACTTAGCTCAATCTCTTTCTTCATACTCATGTAAAGACAGACTAGTTATTCCTATACTTACTTAATTTTGTTACTCCTCGTCGACGAGCATGGGCCGCCCAACAGCACTCGCCATCCAAACCTGTCCTGCACAATCCTTTCTAGTTAATACTTATCCTTTTGATACCTGCTTCCATTTGCCGACGCAGTGTGTATTTTGACCTTCCTCTTTTCCGTTTCCCTTCAGGATTTCAAATTAGCGCTTGCCTCGTGATGCAGTTTGATGATTTCCGTAATGTATGTCCTATCCACTTCCAACATCTTTTCCTAATTTCCTCTTCAACTCGAAGCTGGTTTGTTCTCTCCCACAGTAGGATGTTGCTGATATCCGTCCAACGGACTTTTAGTATATTGTGTAGACAATTGTTTATGAGTCCTTGTACCCTTTTGATGATGGTTGTGGTAGTTCTCTAAGTTTCAGCTCCACACAGTAGAACTAACTGTCTTGACGTTCGTATTGAGGACTCCGACTTTGAGATTGTTGACAATTGTATTGAGTTCTGTATGTTCTTCAAATGTAGGAATACTGTCCTTCCGATAATGTAATAAGAAGACGAAGATTATCAGAATTATGATATATTGGCGCAGTGCATTTCGAACAATCTGATCACACATATATTATTATTAGTATTATTATTATTATTGGCAAGGCAAGGCAAGGACAGTATTTTTAAAGCAATCAGTCGCCTTGATAAACTTCGATAATGTAATAAGAAGACGAAGATTATCAGAATTATGTGATATATTGGTGCAGTGCATTTCGAGCAATCTGATCACACATATACTTGTTAAGAGCATTTATAAATAAGAATAAAATGCCAACTAGACTGGAAATGGGGTGAGTGGAGATAAGGATGATAATAATAAGAGTAATAATAATGTGAACACAATTCAAAACCTAATCACTCTGGAATTGTGTTCACATTATTATTACTCTTATTATTATCATCCTTATCTCCACTCACCCCATTTCCAGTCTAGTCGGCATTTTATTTTTATATATAAATGCTCTTAACAAGTATATGTGTGATCAGATTGCTCGAAATGCACTGCACCAATATATCACATAATTCTGATAATCTTCGTCTTCTTATTACATTATCGAAGTTTATGAAGGCGACTAATTGCTTTAAAAATACTGTCCTTGCCTTGCCTTGCCTTGCCAATTCTCACCTTCACTTCTGCATCGGATCCTCCTTGTTCATCGATGATGCTGTCCAGTAGGTGAACGTTTCTACCTCTTCCGGGGTCTCTCCATCATGTGATTGGGTCGGTGCTCTCCATGTTGTATTTGAGGATCTCGGTTTTCCCCTTGTGTATGTTGAGGCCCACTGATGCAGAGGCTGCTGCTACACTGGTTTTCTTGACCTGCATTTGTTGGTGTGTATGGGATAGAATGGTCGGTCAGGTGATCTGCGAAGTTAAAGTCGTCTAGTTACTTGCAAGCTGATATTAGATAATTTAAACTTTCTTCACGTTTACAAGCACCATTTGTTCTCATCCTGAATCTAGCGTATCCTTGATGCATTTGGCGGTGTACCATCTCATCTTCCTCTTATATTTTCACTTATCGCTGTGCTTATTTGACCATTCATCTGACTGATCATGTTAGTTTCTGTGTAAGTGTCTTGACAAGTATATATTTGATCAGATTGCATGATATCTCTTGCTCAAATAAACCTTATATTTTTTTCTCAACCTCGTTTTCTCAACGATGATATAATAGAATTGCTTTAACTGTAATTCTAAAACTAACTACATCTAGAATCATGCTTCAACATTCATGACCAAACCTACCTTAAATTCATTTTCCACAAGTCTTCTTTCGTTATAGCATCTAAGAAGTCTTCTTCATCAACAATGTGATTCCGACGAAGCTGAAAAAGATTTAATTATTTTACTTATGTCACAATAAATGTTAGTGATTTCGTTATTTATTGGAAACACATTTTTTGTTAGAATTACAGTGAAGTTATAGGATGTTTTTGCCTCTACTTCATCTGGGATTTGCAATTACTTTTTATTGGCTGAAAATGCCAATCTTCTTTGTCTTCAAAATTTTTAACACCACTGTTTTATGATTAGAATTCATACTTATTTAGCGGCTGAAAGTAAACTATACCAATATTAGTGGTTAAGTAATTTAGATACTTGACATACTTCCAATGATTGTTTTACGGAGGGAGGTCAAGTCGGAGGTTTTATTAAGGTTGTACGTTATGGAGAATGTTTTTAGTGATTTGATGGGGCGAGATTTTCAATTATCAAAATCAATGAATAGGACGCCAATCGATCGGTGGATAGGATATGATATAATGTGGTTGACTGATGGTGACTCACGAAACCGTATTATTTATTGACTTAAGTTTTTGAACGATTAGAAATATATAAAAAAGACTATTACCAGTCAATTGAATAGATTTTCCAAGTAATAAATTGATGTGTTTGTATAAAAAATATAATAAATGCACATATGCCAATAAGAGACCGATCAATTTCAGTCCTAAAACATCAATGGGAAGATTCAAGTAAAACAATATTAAGTGGATTAAACTTCACCCCATTGCACAAGCAAGTGGCTATCAGGACTCAGTAGCTAAGTGGATAACGCGATGGCGTTTGAAGCGAACGGTACTGAGTTCGAGTCCCAGAGTGAACATCAACTTTGAGATGCAGGTACATCCAGCTGACGAGTCCTGGATCCCACTGCTAGCCACTATCCATCTTTGCTTATAATGCTTGTAAATTAAGGCAATATCGAGGTATACGCACAGTATGCACATATGCCAATAAGAGACTGATCAATTTCAGTCCTAAAACATCAAATGGGAAGATATAAGTAAAACAATATCAAGTGAACTATTAGATGGTTGGAAGAACCTAACTTGTAGGTCACTTATTTTCCAGGCACTTAAGATCTGACTTCCCAGTCTGATCTTTGGACATCATATCCGTTTGTAGTCTTGGGTTCTATTTACCGTTGTTAGTCTGTTGATAAATAACAAACTACCTTTTCATGTACGTGACAAAAGATCGTGATTAACCACTTAATTGGAATCATACAATTCATAAACGGACTGAATAACTTCGCTTTACATTCTTAAACTAGGTTTTTGTGCTTACGTGCATTAAACACTCCGTAAATCCCTACATTTCCTGAGGATCTTTCAATTGTCAGGTTTATTTATAAGAACTTTTTCAATCGAAAAAATGATTGATTGAAAATGCCAGACATTTCTGTCATTTCTCAGATAAAATTAAACTGGGATGCAGACGGCGTTATAGCCAGTCACTCCATGAGTAGTTTATTTCTGCTGAAGAATAAAACATTTCCATATTAAACATTGGGGTATACTCATCAAAAGTCTGTGCTAAAAGAATGAAATTAATATATTTGGGGGAAAATGTGAATTAGACTAGGATAAGTATCAATAAGTTACTAACTTTGGCACGGTCTTCATCGGGTATCCGGAGGTCTTTAAACCAATCATCTAGTGTACTGAATCCAGTTTTCAAATCTGTGAATTATATTTGAAAATTGGTAATGTTCCATTATTAGGAAGAGTCAAATGTTTATTCGGTCAACTAAAGAATGGTTTATTTCAGAAATAAAGGTCCTTATGAAATAATAACTCGTCTCTACTAGTAAATTAATGTAACTAACCAAAATTCTATGCCAAAAAAATTTAATCTATCAAATTGGATGCATTGACAAACAGATGCTCGGTTCATTTGTATTCGGACTATCAAAATGTTCAGAAATTACTTTCATTTGTTATCTATATTTCACGTCGGAATGTGGATTTGTCCTGTGCTTAACGATTCAAATATATATTACATATTTCTTTGTCATGTTGCATTATATGACGGTTTTAAATCATATTATTTGATCATTTTTGTGGGGATGGTTGGAGATAGTCCGTTTCTGAATTGAATGGTCTCATAACTCAGCTTTGCTTTAGTTAGAATTTCAGAATAACCTCATGGAATTATATCGATTACAGAAAGTGTATTTTTCATTATTGAATGAGAGTAGTCAGTTGCGTGAATCAAGAAATTCAAAACTTGTGTATCTCAGTGAAGAGATTTTCTGTTGCAAAATATACTCATATTTCTAACTCTGCCACTGAGCACTCGTTTAATAATTATGTATAACGATGTCTGATTATAATTTTGAGTTATTCATCTTGGTTTGAAGCATCATAAGGAATAATTTGATGATAAATTTGGTTGAAATTAGATTAAGAATTAATAAAAGTGGGGTCTGGTTATGCGTCGACTGCATTCAACAGAAACCATCTGTATTCAGTGGGTCAAAATACACTCCTCAAGTTCTATAATTATTACTTTTGTAAATACGCATATACTGTGAAGAAGTATTGATAATTTGATGTAAAATTTGTGTACCATAATAGTTTAAAACGTATTGTAAACTAACTCTACTTATAAGTATCTACCAAGAAATTTTCAATAAATCATATTTATTGAAGCTTGATGTTGACATTTATAGTATTTTTTAGAAGTTAGTGTTAGGCTAAAATCTACATAAAAGCACAAATATAATAATAAATACTATTATTCAAAACTTGCATTTATGTCCGAGGATATTGTACATTGAACTGAAAATAAAAAATAATGTGTATGCATATTTATACGAAAGGTGTGCAAGTCGAAGTTATATGAGGTTGGTTTTATAGAAACAAGAAATTTCAGTCAGTATTCAGTAAAATTTATAAAAACTGATATTCATATACACTTAATTAAATTTTTATTTTAGAAATTATTTTATCTCCTGGTTTCCGATCATTATGTTCTATGAGCGTTTGACATCCTGTTGGCTATTTCTCCAGCACTAGAAGTCTTTTCTATACACCAGTGCTATAATTCCTGCTAGTAGTTAAAATGTAGTATTAGGGTTTCTTTCAATTTGGAACACATAAGTCGAATGTTTAGATGGTTGTTTTTATTTGGAGTCAAACCACACAATCATGGTTCAGTGACAATTTCCCTAAAGACTGTATATATTGATATTTCCAATTGGATTTTATGTTAAAGATCATAAAAATAACTTACTGCTTGGCTTTACTATTACGTTTTACTGTGATTTTATGTGTATTATCATAGATTTACTTATTTAAATTTATACATGAGGTTCATTAGTAAGTAGTGTATGTAGTGTATTTAATAGTGGCAATTATTTTGAGACACTTATACAATATGGTACCAAAATCTGAATACAGAATAATTTACAAATAAGGGACAGTCTATTGGTGTAGATTATTCATCGATCGGTAAGTTGATCTATAGTGGTAACTGTATAGATACCAATGTTTTTGGATTATATATATATGAGACAGAACGTCCTGATTATTTGTAAAAAAAAGCAAAATAAATACTCAAAAGCTTATAGCAGAGAATCTGCTTTTGTGTATTTGTACACTGACAAAACGTCTGATAACATTATACTTCAAAAATGAAGAAAAAATTGTGAAATCAAAATTTACTGATATTTCACTGAAATCACAATTGAACTTCACTGGTCATGACTTCTGACAAAAAAATCCGTAAATTTCCTCGTGAAAAGCTGTGACCGGTGGAGTTCAGCCGTGTCAGATGTGACGAATGTGCCCATCGAAGTCAATTGGAAAGGGTCGCTAAATACCGCGGATTGATTGAAGTTTGATTTGTACACCGTTGGGTCCCGATTCAGTGATCTAGAGGCTAGTCATTCTTACTAGACCGAAAGTGCTGGGTTCAACTCCTGGCTTCAAGGTCGCGGTTGTTCACTTTTAAGAAGTCCCATACTTAAACGAAGCGGTCATTCAGTGCTTCCAGGTTTCGAATAGTTCTCTGTCTTATACAATTTGTGATTTTAATGTTACTCAATCGTCTCCACTTCCCCATGCTGACAATTTGATAATACCCTGAGTGTTCTAAATAATTATTTGATCGTTCATCTAATGAAAGCAGACATTACTTTAAACATTTAACACAGAATTACGTTGAGCTGATAAATTCGGTTAATATTAGTGACAAATATCATGTACCATTTATTTTCCGCTCAGTCGTATGCAATGTTTGGCTTATTTAGCAATCAAATATTCCAATTCTTTTGTCATCCTCTTTGGTAAATTTACCGTTTATACTTTTGATATCAGAAGTATGGAAGTTTATGAATTAGAACATTTCTATTGTTTTGTTTTTCCTTATATTCCAGTTTCGGAACTTAACTAGTTCTAGATTTATCTTCAGCACACCTTTCTTACTGTTGTTTACTATTTTTTAATATAATTGTCATAAACATTAGTTAAATTTATAGTTTAGTGTTACTGTTCACTTACATTAAGTTTAGTAAATTAATAGTATTATTTCTAAACAAATTCAGCAGAGAATATAATAAAATCTGTCTCACTTGTCTACTAGACCATTAGCAGAATTCTCGTGATTTACCAATTCATCTAGTGTTTTGCTAGTCCTTGATTTAACATGACACAAAGGAGCACTTGACTGAACACCTGCGAATTTCCGTGCGCACTGGATAATTTCCATTGGTTCTTCAGGAATTGCTTCGTTTGAAAAGGTTAATGATTTCTGTGATAAAGATAAACTGTTTGTAACCTTCTTTGTTTCATCCACAGTTGAATCATTTGGTGTATAATAGAGGCTAGGTGACATAGAGACCATGGTAAATGGTCTATTCGAAGGAGTCGACTGACGAATATATGTTGGCGAGTCAAGATCAGCTTCCGTGGTGACTTGTTTTACTAGTCTACGATTGTGCTGTGCTGAGTATGTTTGATGACGACGTAAGTGAACTGTACTTATTGGGGCTAAATCTTTAGGAAAATGGAAAATATTCATCAATTGTGGCAAAGTTATTTATTAAAGAGATTCTTTTTACATAAAAAAACATTCAGAATTTGCAAACCATTAAATACCAAGAAAGTTTAACAAATTCTTCATTTTGTCCGTTTCGATTTAATCACCAAAATGAATCCATTTCTGTATGTTATGCATGCATAACCCCTATAAAGCTTCTGAAACCAGTGTTACTTGATGAAAACCATAGGATTGTCACAGTATTTTATCTGGTTAACAAGATAAATTATATGATATCTCAGTATACATTGTTTGAAATCAATAAATCGAAAGCTTTGGGTCTAGATTTTATGAAACTTTTGGGGAAGAAATCCCACAATTTCGATAGTTATGATTTTTTTCTTTATGATATTGGTGAGTTTGTTCCATATGATAAATCACTAATTAATTTGTGGTGGGTTTTAGTAAGTTAGACAAAGAATGAATTTATGAAAATCAGTTTGCTGAGCATGGTCTTTTTAATCGTGTTCTGGGTATAAAATACTACTTTATTCAACGCTCCTCTCTATACATTGGTATCGAGTCATAATCCCATATGTAATTTCTGGATAAAATATTTAGTTACGGTGACTAGGTAAGAACCTAACTGTGCTCAGTAACATGGGTTCTTGTTTGAAATCTGTTATTGTTATAGTTATCTACTTTTAAAAGCAAACACTTTTTACTTTATCGAGTTTTTAACGATCAAGTCCAAGAGTATGTACATTTCTAACATAGAGTCACTTAGATTAGTGAACACATTCCAATATGATAGATAGGATTAAACCATCCATAAGTATTATAATTGGGGTACATATATAAAATATTCTTTTCATAAAAATACTTGAAAGAAAATTATTATTGTGTTAGGATATTTAAGGATATCGTAGTTTCAAAGTAGTTTTTATTGATAAGTTATCTGTGGAAACAGAGGGGACTAGATAGTGTTGAACAGTTTTGTATTTATACGAATCCGAGTCATAAGGGAAAGGGAACTCCATACTAAGAACTTTTCCGAATTCAGACAGTATTGTTCACAGTATTGTACAGGTCAGGGGATTTTTCGGCTGATGAAAGAAATTTGTCTTGGTACAACATGCTTCAAACATACTTACTGCTAATTTGATTGGTTGCTGAAGTGATAGCATCTTTGATCAATTTTTCCCATGCTAATACTTCATGTGGACGATTCACTTGACGGAGCAAAGGTGCAGCAATAACACTTGGAAGTGCTGCCAAAGCTACTCGCAAATAATTGCAAACTAATGGCGTTCCCACTGGAAGACATGCATTATTCTGTTCAGATATCTTTGAAGAATGTAGCAATTTTAAAAATCGTCCTCCTAAATCTTCGCCAGCCACTGAATAACGTTTCAAACTTGACAACACTGCGAATTTATTCGTATCGCCCGATATGCCGTTGATGGAGTCAGTCAATCCTTCAGTTGTACATTTATTTGCTGGAATTTTAAGGTAGTTAACAAGTTGAGACCAACAAATTCCACCGTGTAAACTATCAGTTATCATATCTAAAAGACACTAAAAATATGAACACTGGTTAAACTATAAATTGTTTTAAGTCAGTGTAATATTCATGAACAGACTATTACAAAAGCCAGTTTAGACCTCGACTAAGATTATTTTATCTGCTCACTTTGATACTTAAATAAATTGTTGAGAAATATCGGGACTGATCCTGAAACTAAAGTTACTGTACTATCGGGAAATATTGAAAAAGCCTTCAAAAACACTCATATTTAGTGTTTCAATCCATACCATTCGGTGTTACCTAGAAACGTTAGAATTAAGGTAGCAACTAAACCCCATATACTAATGAGTTAGCGCGTAATTAGTTCACTAAAAAGAAGCCAATGTATGACACTTTGTTTGAAGATGAATTAATTTTATTGACGAGCTGCCTACAGTGAATTGAGTTCATTATTGGATCCGTATAACTCATAATCTTCCCGTTAAATACTTTTACAATTTCTGTAACGTGATTGCCAAAGTATCACTTTGTCTAACCATTTAAATAACTGACCATGATTCACAGTGTTTCCAATAAAATTGGATTATTATTGATAACTGCTGAACAAACCAATGAATTATCAATGTTTATGATTAAATTCAGTAATGAATTTGAATGTTGAACCTTGTTTATAAAGGGTTTAAGGTAATCTTAAAAGTTAGACGTTAAATATTTTGGTCACCTATAAAAGGTATTAAAATCTGATTCCTTTATTTATCGAATTTGGATAATGACCTACTTTCTGAAGGAATAAATCACTTAGTAATTTTGTTGATAAATCTCAATAGTGAGGTTAGAGACAACTTCTCTTGGTTATTCTATTTTGTGGTTACTCAATGATAATTCGACCAAAAAAGTTACCAGTCAAATGAGCGAATTTACCCAAATATCAATCAAAACTGTTTTTATTGTTCACATATTATTTGTGAACAATAGTCTTTGTATGTGTTTTTTTTCACAAATAGTCATAGAGTGATCATAGAACATAAAATAGAGTAAACAGTAACAACTAAATCATATGTTAAGTATTCTTTCCATACAATATTCATTTTTTTACACAGTGACTACTTTTCCGTCAATATATAATATTACTATTCAATCGATTACATGCTTGATATAATTTGCGCAAATTGATTTTATAATCGAATGCCAAAAAACGGATATAGAACAAGAGAAAATGGTAAACTGTTTTGAAGTGAAGTGAACATCAAACTCAATGTCAATTAAATGTTACCGTAGTATTGTCACATTATTTTTCTACTACAAATTAAACGTAAGACAAATAAATAGTTTATACGTCACTGAGATCATGAATCAATCTGAGTTAAATTTACACTGAAAACCAGGAAACAGTGGATTGCTATTTTATCCAAGTGTGAACCTTCTCATAGTTGATTACTTACTACATCATAACAGTGGATCGAACACATGATCTTCAAGTCTCGAGGTGATAGCTTAACCTCTAGACTACTGAGTTGGTATCCAACATTTCACACATCTAAATGAATCAATTTTTGATACTACCTAACCATCTTCGATTATTTTCGGTGAGTAACCAGTTCCTCACACCTGAAATATTTAAACTCTACTGGTCACAACTCTTCACTATAACTTTGCGAATTTCCTGTTGAAATTAGTCCCAGTGGTTCAGAAGTTAGGTGTTCATCATAACATCTGAGTGCTTAAGATTCTATCCCACATGGGGTCGTTACGTTAAAAAAATGACCTGTTTTGAGACATATAACTATCATCGATTCAATTCATGTCATGCCATACATTACGTCATCATGGATTAAAGACTTTGAATAATAATTCTGTTTCGATAATTTGGTTGACAGCAAATTTTGGTCAACCGGTTAGTGTATGTTGACTGTGAATCAATAGAGTGGTCCCGCAACAGGACGAGACAGATGTATAATACTTCCAGATCTTCAGGTGTGGTCCAAATGATGGTAACGTTTGATTACAACATCATTCAAAACCCTTATTACTATACAGCGTAAGTTAGAAATACAAGTTAATGATAAGTATTTCAGAGTTGTGACTTTTCGGAATCTGCTGCCTTAATGCCTATGCAATAACTGGTTTGAATGAATGGATATCCAATAAACATTAAGTGTTCCTCTATGAAAGGGGTATTATGTTCGTTAATTTTGTTTACTTACTAGGAAAATTAGGACTGGAAAGAAATTATTGCTGAAACAAGTGTTACAATTCATTGAGAAAACATTGCTTAATGGCAAATATGTCCACCTTGTCCTCATACTGTTGTAACAGGTCTGAAGTACCATATCATTTATAGAAATAAAATATTATTGTTCATTACTTTTTATCAGAAAAGTCTAGTTGTCTGATTTTTCTTCAGGAAAGTACAGCAAAAATATTGGTTATATACTGCGAATGTATTGTACCTAATATATATAATCTAGTTCTGATAATCTTCGTTTTCTCATTACATTATCTGAATTTCGAATACAGTTTATTGAATTAGTAAAAAAATTTAAAGTTAAAGGTGACTATCCATGAATAAGCTACTGGCTTTATTTTGACTTTTGTAATTTATTAGGCTAAAATTTACATATAATTGTTGAAAACTGCCTTATAAAAGGTGGAATGGTATTGAGACTATATCATTGAAATTGAACTTCCACATAATATCAATGTAATAACAATAAACAACTTCGTCTGTAGTTCTTCTAGGGTTACTGCCGGTCCCAAGCCCACACAAAAGAGGAGGGTTGAGTGTGGGGTTAGCATCCACATCGCGTAGAAAACAAGCTTGTTAAAAAATGCTAACCGCGATAAACAAATCAAATCACTTAAACACTGTCATCATTCAGAAAAATTATGACGCCTCATTACGAAAGCCGAGATTCTTCGGAAGTCACGAGGTCGATGCCCTTTCTAACAACCAGAGCAAACATATTAATATAGGTACATGGAACGTCCGGACAATGTAGGAGACCGATAATATCAACCAAATAGCTGTGGAAGTGTGGAGAAACAATTTAGTTGTGTTAGGAATCAGTGAAACCCATTGGACCTAAGCTGGACAGAAAGATATATATTCGGGAGAGATGCTGTTGTACTCTGGTTACAAAGAAGAAAATGCTCCACACACCCAGGAAGTTGCTCTGATGCTATCCAAAGAAACACAAAATGCACCTATAAGATGGGAATATCATGGACCCATGCCAAGACAAAACTGAAGCTAGGGAAGCACTAGACAACTGGACAAACAGCATTACAAAAGTTCAATACAGCATTCCTTCGACATTCTGACAAACTCCACGGATTCAAGATAACTCTCAACAACAGGTTACAAGCCTTACAAGATCTACTGAAAGGAGAATAAACTATTATGGAAGACAACTGGAAAAGGATCAAAGGAGCACGAACTTCAACGTGTCAAGAGGTTCTGGGACTCAAGAAGGATCACCATGAGGAATGGATCTCTATGGAAATCCTGCACAAGATTTAAGAAACGAAGAAAAAGACGGTAATTAACAACAGCCGAACAAGAACAGAGAAGATTAAGGCGAAATCTGAATACACAGAAGCAAACAAACATGTAAAAACAGCATTATAGATGATAAACAGAAATATGTGGAAGATTTGGCAACGACAGCGGAAAACGCCACAACAACAAACATGAGACAGCTATATGACGCGACGAAGAAACTAGAGGGGAAATACAATAAACGAGAAAAACCTGTCAAGGACAAAGAAGGTAACCCGATCACCGAGATTCAAAAACGGATGGACGGATGGGAATAATAATCCGAGGAACTCCTGAACAAACCGGCTCCGTCGGATATCGAATCAGCACACAAAGACCTTCCTGTAGATATCAAACCACCAACGATCGCAGAAATCAGGCTGGCCATAGGAAAAAATAAAGAGTGGGATGTCAGCAGGACCTGACAATATACTATCTGAAGCACTTAAGTCAGATATAGAAATAATTGAAAACGTTCTATTCGGGAAGATTTGGGAGGAAGAACAAATATCACCGACAAACTGGAAAGAAGGATATCTTATCAAGATACCAGAGAAAGGAGATCTGAACAAATGTGGAAACTACAGAGGCAACACACTACTATCGGTACCAGGAAAGTTTTAAATAGAATGCTTCTGAACTGGATGAAAGATTTAGTTGACGTCCAACTTTGGGATCAACAAACCAGATTCAGTGAGGCTCGGCCGTGCACAGACTAAATGGCGACACTACGGATCACCGTTAAACAATCAATTGAATTGAATTCGTGACTGTACATCAACTTGCTTATCTATGAGAAAGTATTTGGTTGCCTGAATAGATTTTCATGGAACCTTCTTCGACACTATGGTGTTAGTAGCTGAGAAGATCGCCAAAATCATCCGGAATTCATACGAAGGACTACACTGCAAAGTGATATGTGGAGGACAGCTGACAGACACATTCCAGGTGAGGACCAGTATCATACAAAGTTGCTTTCTCTCGCTCCCTTCCTCTTTCTCCTGGTGATTGGCTGGATTATGAAGACCTCGACATCTGAGGAAAGCATTGAATACAATGGACAGGTTACATCCAAATAGACGACTTTAACTTCGCAGATCACCTGACCGACCATTCTATCCCATACACACCAACAAATGCAGGTCAAGAAAACCAGTGTAGCAGCAGCCTCTGCATCAGTGGGCCTCAACATACACAAGGGGAAAACCGAGATCCTCAAATACAACATGGAGAGCACCGACCCAATCACATGATGGAGAGACCCCGGAAGAGGTAGAAACGTTCACCTACTGGACAGCATCATCGATGAACAAGGAGGATCCGATACAGAAGTGAAGGTGAGAATTGGCAAGGCAAGGCAAGGCAAGGACAGTATTTTTAAAGCAATTAGTCGCCTTCATAAACTTCGATAATGTAATAAGAAGACGAAGATTATCAGAATTATGTGATATATTGGTGCAGTGCATTTCGAGCAATCTGATCACACATATACTTGTTAAGAGCATTTATAAATAAGAATAAAATGCCGACTAGACTGGAAATGTGGTAAGAGGAGATAAGGATAATAATAAGAGTAATAATAATGTGAACACAATCGGGAACCTAATCACTCTGTAATTGTGTTCACATTATTATTATTAGTTGTAACTAAGAGCGTGTGTTAGTAAATTATTTTCGGTCGACATGTTCTTGAAATAGAGAATTTGTTCAAAATCATCTCTGTAACATGGTTCTCTGTCATATATATTTTAATCGGGAGTTGCCTTGAAGTTATTCTTGACGAACCATATTATGTGTATCTAGTTCAAGGCAATCAGAGTTCCTGTTTTCAATCAGCTATCAAGTGAGAGTTAGTGATCTAAAGAGTAAATCCTTTTTACTTTGCTTAAACCTTACACAATGATTCTGAATTTCTGCATGAAATTCGAACAGGTTTTTCGTCTCTGCTTAACGTAAAGTGATAATATAGATCATTAAACTGAAAACATATTTGTAATTATCGATGAAGAATAAAATAAACGAGATATCTAATTTAGTCTAAAGTTTTCTGAAGCAAATGAAAGTGGAATCAATAGAATTTAATGGAGACCTTTTTTTGCTATCTTATTTTTATCCAACGAAAATGAAATGTAGGACTTTGAAAATTATTGTAGTTATCTAAAAAACTTTAATACATTTTATTTGCCTATATATATTGTTTCGAAATTTGTTAATCTCACACTTCAAAACAATTCATCATTGGTTTCATGTTACTACTTCCATGACCATTGATTCTAATTTAGTTCTTATAAAATGCGTAATTAATTTATCATGTTAAATAATGAACAGTTTTTGTATCGTATGAATATCATTATGTTTTGTATTCTTTGTTACTATTATTAACAAGCATATCATTTTAAAGGTACAGTTTAATTGTAGTTACACCTCGTCACTGGTTTATCATTTCAATTCTTTTTATCTTTTTTTTTTGACAGAATTTCATGTTTCTGGATTTATTTATCGGAAAATATGCTTGATCTCCAAATTATGTGTTCGATTAGTCTTTACAAAATGTTTTGTGTAGTTGATTTTCTGTGATTCCCTATATGTCTGTTTTCGATTGGCATTAGCATAAATATATAAATTAAAGTCTATCTGCCTTCTCACTTTGTTGCCAGACTGATAAAAAACTCTTGTCAATTCAAGGTTGTATTTTTTTAGCCTGTTATGTGATGGTTATGAAATTTACGTTTTCGATTTGTTTTGTGTAGCACTTATTTTAAGATAACAAGTATTCTGAATTACAAATATATATCACATCATGAACTGTTGCTTGAAACTTGCAAAAATTTGTAACACTGGTCGTTATTAAACTATATTTTTCTCATTTCACAACAACTACTAGAGCGAGAATCTTATCTAAATAAAACAAATCAAGTAGAATAATATAGATTTTTTACATTCCGTAGTTTTTACGTCAGCTGAATAAGTCCCTAGCTGAATTAACAAAGTATACCTAATGAAATTGAAAAATTAAACGATGTTGCATAATTGTAACCATAACAGCCTTTTTCTAAAAAAATGACTAGGAATATTATATATATAAATAGTTGTACTCTGATGATCCAACTGAATTTGTTAACAGGTAATAAGGCTCCATGAAATATATTGAATTCATACTATTCCACTTCAATCGTTGTTCATGTTCCATTCGTATAAGAAAGAAAACGCTAACTGTATCACATCTTAATTGTTAAGTTTATGTTTTCGGTCAAATCTATAAAATTTAACTATCTATTTTCAAACAGATTGCATTCGATTAGTATCATCCAGAATTAGGTGAATTGCACTTTGAACAAGTGAGTCAACGGTTGAAACTCATCTATTTGAGTTACAAAACTACTATTTCAGACTTATTATTTTAAAAAATAAGAACAACCAATCAGTATGTATTTACCTAAGGCTGTAAAATAGAATATTAAAAAGCATTGAGTTTATCACGTAACTACTTACCTCTAATAGTTTTTCCTCAACTCCATTGTTCGATTCTCGATTAGTTTCAGAGTTGTTTACTCGTTTACCTAAATCCGATGTAAGTTCATCTTTGGTTTTGTTTGAAACATTTGATTGTGTACACCGACAAACTATGTCTATCCATGCATCAACAATTGACTGTTTCTCGGAGATTAATGCATTTGACAAACGTCGTTTTGCTTCAGAGTCCTTAAAATAAAAAAAACGTTTCAGAGTATGGATCATTTGAGATTGGGTCATTCATAAATATATGTAATGTGTTATTCAGTGTTGTGCAGTCTTCAGAAAGTGTTATTATTGAAGCTATATCATGAATTATTTTGTCAGATACCCTTGAAATCTGATTTTACAGCGTATAATTTTATCGGGAAGTGATTAACTTCATCAGTCTCATATATCATAAGTCGCCATGATAACTAGATAACTAACATTCTTTAAAAATTCCAAGATATAAGCAATGAGTACACTAATAGAAAGTTTTTACACAAGTCTGGTTATCGATTAAGCAATTTAAATGCTTTTATATACAGTTTTAAAACGTTGAGGTGTCACCATAGTACAATATCTTGGCTTTCTTCGAAATATCGTAGCATCTTAGTAAGATTAAATAACAGTAATAAAATTACTTGATAGTTTTGAAGATTAGCATTTGTTTAAACTTCTAATTCATAACAAAATTATTATTAGTAAACAAACTAATGGAGAAATATTAAAGTAAGCAACTGCAGATTTTGTAGAAAAAAAAGAATAACAAAAAGGTATAAAATACCCACAGTTTGTGCTTTAAAGCTACAATAACTCAAAAGCAAAAATACAAGGGTCACGTATCATTTGCCAAACAACATGCAAATTGTAATATAAGATGATAGATATAAAAAAGGAGACACAGTCATTAAATGTTTATTCGGAAGATGAAGTGATGATGCGTTCGCATCAGTTGAACTGGTATTAATAAATGTTTTATTAAAGTTATGACTGTCGTTTATAATTGTGAAAAGTAATGTACTTTTATACAACTTGGACCACAGGACTTAACGGTGGGTAGTAAATGTATGGGCTTAACATATTCTGACCATTTTAAATGAAGTCTTGCAAATTCCTCAATCGAATAGCTTTTCTCAGATATTCTTGAATTAAAATTAGAATCTAAACTCACTGCTAAATGTTATTGGATTATTTGTTTAGAAACTTTCAATGTTCAGTTTTGTTAAGCTGTCTGAGTATTTTAAACGACATCGTGTAGGAAATATAGAAAAAACACAGCAAACAAAATTTGTTCCAACAATACCTGTTTAATAAAATTGAATGGATCTTCTGAATTCCCAAAACTAGCACTGTTTACAGGAGCTTTGCGTTTTTCATCCTTTGTTATATATACACCTGGTATTTTCAGTTTTTCTACTTTGACAGGTAAAATTGAAATATGATTTACTGATTCTGTGGAATGTTTCTCTCCATCAGTATTTGTATTTTCTGCTTGATCTATAATTTGGTCTTATAATACAATATTTTGTTTATAAATAATGACTTACTTTTTAAGTTAAACTGATGGAAGGATTCATTTGAAAATACGGAAGAGGCATCATTGTCAGATTTTTCACTTTCTGACAAAATTGAATTACTGTTGTGAATTACATTTAGTAAACGATTACTTTTACTTCCCCATGAGCCTTAAGATGAAAAAATAGAGTAGGACAGTTAATGTAAGACATATTTTTAAAACTTTACAAATTAAATACAGGAGAAAAATACCGATAAAGAAAATTAGTCAAATATATATTTCTTTAACTTAATATACTTTAAATTGTAATAGATTATAATTTATTTGAGCCTATAAATTAGATGTATTTGTAGCCTAGAACTTGATTATTCAGAATGAGCATTTGCATGACTATTTATGTTGGAAACTTCTGTGATACACATATCAAACAAGAAAATATCTTCTTAACTCACTATAGAGAATCGTACTATTTTTTTTTAAAAAACAAAGTAATTATTTAATAAGGTAATATGTAAAAATTCAATTGATAGTATTCATCAGTGACTTAATAAACAATTAAAAAACATGCGGGATTTGATAATATCTTGTATCAGACCAAGTTTTTACAACTTTCACCAATACATTTATAGAAGAAATCAACAAGGAGAAATGTAAAGGAATCGAAAAAGTATCAATGATAGTAGAAAAATAAACATAGGAATTTAATCTGATAGTAAATCGATGGGATGAAGGAGTATGAATAATAAAAATAATGAAAAAGAAGAAAATTAGAAACTAACTGATTTTGGAATATATTACCCAAGGTCACTAGCAATTACTCAAGATCGCCTTTTGAATCAGAACCAGAAAGTTTGGAACTCCAAACGTAGTTCAATTTATTGATCGACAGCTGAATTAATTGCTCCCTTATTTGATTACGGGATCCCCTAATCGCTTTGTAAGCTGCTTGCCATTCCAGTGAATATGATAACCCGGAGTAGGTGATGAGTGGACATACTCAAAATGTGTAGCATCCAACTCAGGAGTGACTAATATTAATTGAAAATTTATAACACTAAAGAAAGCTCTGTAACGTTGAACTGTTTCGAGTTAACTACCACTATGTATGGATTAGCTCATGATCTGCAGCTTTTATAGTGAAAAACTATGAATTATTGATAAACCACAAACATGATCTCTTTTCCATGGTTTCTGATATGACTTAATGATTTTAAATGAATATCAACTTGTGATAGAGTTGAAGTTCCCTATTATTAATATTTATGAATTCACTTGCCTAACTCTGCAAGTATGTGTTAATCTCATTAGTGTGAACGGTTGACTTTTGTTATATTCTTCCTGTTTGCTGTCTTTCTTCAAGCTTTCGCCTCAAATTCACCAACCAAGGAGTATATCAAGCCTCTACTCTTATTTTTATTATCTGTTGTAGTTATAGACTGTTTGCAGCTGATGAGAAGCTATAAAATAACATTTCCTCGTTTCGTCCTAAAAATATTATTAGGAAAACTAGATGTACATAACATTGTAGTTTACTTAAAGCGTAATATGAATTAATACAGGTGAATTAATATGGTCATTTCTTATTTAACCAACAGATATGTTGTGTTGAAATTGCTATGTTCTCAAACTTGCATTTTGGGTATTTGTTAATATTCTCATGAATACTGTAAGAGACATTTTAAACTAACATGTTAACTTTTCGAATAATTAACAACTAAAAGTTGTGGAACAACTCATTTCAATGTGAATAAAAACTAATGTGTGGTGCATTATGCAAATTATGTGCTTTTACTAAAACTTGATAAGACAATAAAATAGTTAAAAAATGAATTTACATGTCCGTAATTATCATAGTAATATTATTCTATTACTTTTCCTGAATAAAAACTAAGTGTAAAAGACCGTTATACTGATAAATGTAATCGAAACAGTATATTTTATATGCCTGCTCAAAACATTCTCTTTCGTAAGTCAACTCATTTATTCTCATGATTACTGATTCTGACTTAGTTTGTATGGCATTCTTTAGCTAAATAAAATCACAAACTGAATGAAGAATTTTCTTTCCAAAAAATTCTGATCACGTTCTAAATTCAAATTAATGTTTCGAATGGATAGCCAAGTTCAATGGAAAATCTTGAATTTATAACAGGCAGTTATAAATTGTTTTTAATAAGTAGATTCTTTATGAATTTTGTAACTAAACAAAGAGATAAATTACAATTATAATGACATTATGCGAATGCTGGTACTTATAAACAATGTTGGCACATTTTTATATTTCTATACAGACATAATCTAGTTTTATATAAGTCTCAATGACTATTAACACATAAATATCACAGCATGAATTTATAGAATGTTCTTGGTTTACTACTAAAATATCAATATTTTGTAATACTGTTTTTTATTCAAAAGTTAACAAGTTGAATTATTTCACATTGATATTCTGAAGAAATGATTATTTTAATGATGATAGACTGAGATGTTTGCCCTATAACTTTATAAAACAAAATCAAGATAAGTGTTGACCATTAATACTGAACTTAATGGAACTTATCATTATTAACTATAAGGTTCTATGGTTATATCGAATAAGGCATTATAGATAGAAGTTGAAGAATAAAATTGAATCGGGACAATGGTCGACAATTTAGTGATTCCTGTTTTCAGTGTTTCTTCATACGGTTGAAGCTGGTGAGCAAAAGTTACTTTTCAGTTTATTTATATATTATTTTATTTACAAATACAACAAAACACTTTTAAACTTTTGCTAGAAACAAATAAATGGATGTAGTTTATCCAAGTTTATTAGTATCTTGCTTCAGTGTTCATAGTGAATAACTTACCCGAACCAGATATAATCACTGGAGAAGTTGACTGATTTGATATATTTGACAAAGATCTGAAATTAAAGTATGCCATATTTAAGATTATGATTATGTATGTTTAATTAACTTGTTATTTGTTGTTTATCATTTAAAAAAACAAATCCACTTGTGTTTTTCGGTCTAGATTCTAGTGATTAAGTTACATGGTTATGAAAATGAAGCTATACTGATTAGTGTTGCTTCCTGTAAAATGTCCTATTGATGGAGTTAAATTTTCCTTCCAATGTAGCTGAGCTATGTTGTGTGTGCGATGGTTGTCGACCACAAGTAATGAAAGATGGTTGCTTAATGTCGAGAACTGACCGAAATTAGACATGAACATCACTGGATGTCGTCTCAGTGGTCTAGAGCTTAAGCGCGTTAGAACGAGACCAAACATCATGGACTCTACTTTTGTGGTAGAATCGTAGATGTGTATTGCTCAGAAGTTTCACAATAAGATGAAACAGGTGTTCAATGCTTTCTGTTTAACTAATATTAATCCATTATATAAACTGTAACAATTAGTTATTCACTGAAGAAAAACACAGATATAAACCTGTGCATTACGTAAATAATTTACAAACTGTTTAACTGTATTTAAGAAAATATTTCATAAATGGACTTATTCCAAATGCACATAGTTATTTTCATTTTATTTATTGATCTACCTATTAAGTTCAATAGTAATTTTCTGAACTATTAATATATTATTTTATTATCTTAAGGTAGTTTGTTATTAAACTATTTAGATAAGTTTTATTCTACTTTGATTAGATAATACCAACTAGTTCACAGTTTATTTAATTGTATGTAGTAACATAAAACAGAACTAAAACACTTGTACTTCTAATTACTAGTTTGAGATAAGATTGAATAATGAATTTCTGATTCCATTTTGATGTTCAATAATCGATAAACATAATTATATATTATTTATATTTAATAAATGAGATTATTATATGTTTAAGATTTATGCAATAAGATTACCAATATATCTGTTTTAACAATTCAGAAAGCACTGAATAAATATATACAATACTAAATGAGGTATGCTTTGTAGTCAGTTTACTTGGAGAAAGTACTATATGAAGAGGTAATTTAAATTTTCTTAAAGAATTAGTTACGAGTGTTGGTTTCGAAAGTCAAATAGAAAATCAGATGTTTAGTACTCTATGATTGCTTAAATAAACATCCGTTTGTGGAAATTAACTCTTAAGGTTTACATATGAAATAATAGTGTACTTTATATAAGATAACATTTTCAGTTATTTCCTAAACAGATACTGAAATATTTGTAATACTCCTGTTGTTCATCAAATTAAACCGGTTTATGGCATGTGAATAAAAAGAGGTGAATTATTTGCTTTTGGTTAATAAATATTGACATTTAAAACTAATTACCTTAGAACTGCTTCAGATGATTTACAATTAGGTTGATAGAATTTATTTGACGGCCGGAACCTATCTGAAGTGTTAAGTAAAACAAAATTTATAAATATACAACTATCTAATAATATAATACAAAATTCTGTTATAAAAAGCAACAAAATAGTTTTAAGATGAAGTCAACTGTTTCACATAGTTTCTAACATCATCATTCTAGAAACTGATAGTTTAGTTGTGAATTAGTAAATTTCTAATGGACAGCACTCAACTGGAATTACTGTTTTTTTTTGTGATGACTGAAATTTATTATCTTAATTTTTTTTTAGTTGACGTTTGTTGTAGTCGTAATACTTACTTCTTACTGAATAATATCTGAGTAGTGATGGATATTTCAATTGTGAAGTCTTTAGTGAAATTAAATTCTAGGAATCCAGTCTTAACGTATATGTACTCTAAGTGGTTTGATATTGGTTACTGCTGAGGAATGAATTGGTGTTACTATAACAGTCTTGGAGGAGGTTAACCATACCCTGAATATCTCCATGCTAAAGTCTCTCTCTATTGGTCATGTTACACTTGTAGATATTCATTCTTAACAAATATCAAATAAAAGAAAACATAGTTTAATACACGATCTTCTTCCTAATGACTCCAACAATTGGCTTATTTTGTCCTGATAGCTTTAAAATTTAAAAATTATACTAATGTCGATGCTGACAAGTTCTCAAGAAATAAGCATTTTCTACCGAAATATAGTGTTAATTTTTTTTAAAAATGCATGGAACATCATCAATTTACTAAGGTAAAAAACATAACTACTTTTAAAAACACCAATAATTAAATAGTAAGTTAAAACCGATATCTTTTTTCAATGTCAATCAGTTAATTGTCTTTGCCAGTTTTGATTTTTGTCAAGAAGTTTAAACCCGGCTTTTAGTTTATATTCAGTTTATAAATAGAACAATAAGACGATGGTTTAGTAAATAATCTGTAGATTGCATATTTAAGCTTTGACTCATACGTCTATGTGATCATTTGGGCGATATTATTAACCCTCACAAAATGTGGCTTACTGTTGATTACAAAAAATCTATATTTGATGAATGTATTACCATTAGCAGTTAATCAGTAGTATTAATTCGAACGTTACATATTGAAATTAAAAAAAAGCAACAAATAAAGTACTTTTACTTGACTAGTTTCTCATTGACAGGTTATTTTTGAATTTCCATTTCTCATCATTAAAATAAATTATTCAAAGGTTTTATTTTCAAGTTTAGCTATTTGACTTAAATTCTTATTAAATTATTAATGTAATTTGAGTTAAAATTTTACGCAAAGTTTTCAAATCATTATTAGATGATTATTGTAATGTTTTCATTCATATTCACTGAGAGTAAATGTATTTTTTAACTACAAACATTTTCATTGATTTAGAGTTAAAAAAGTTTCATCTGTTTTAATTGGGAGATTGGTTAATTAGGGAATTCTTAGAAACCCTTATATGAACTAATTATATACTCCTTATATATATATATATATATATATATATATATATATATATATATATATATATATACTTCTTATATAATGTCAACAGAATTGGGGAAGTTTACTTCTTGTAAATAATGGCAACCAGTAAATGCAATATTGTCCAAAGTTCTAAACGGTAATTTAGTTGAAGTTTCGAAGTGGTATTACTTAGATTATTGAATACCTGTCAGAATAAAATACTGACCAATATATGAAAAAGCGTAAAAATATAATTAAATACAGTTATGATCACTTAAGTATATTAGAGCAGTAAACGAACTACCTACCTGAAGAGTGTGTTAGTCCCACTGGTTTACGTCGTCTTAATTTTGTAAAACTGTAAATATAATTAACCAAGCGGTCGGAGAAAAGTTAATTCATTGATCATAATGTAGTAATGAGTTATAAAGATTACACTGAAATATTTTAGTATTTAGACATGGTAAATTTTATTTTAAGGATGTACTTATCAACATATATTGAGTTGGACACAAATACAAGTCTAAAAACTTGATCAAAAGAAGACAACAAAGGAATTTCAAGAGAAAAATACGAACAATTATGCTGGAGGTTTTTAAAATGTCAAACAAAATTACCGAACTGTAATTAAAAAACAAGAAATGAAAAATACAAATTAATTAGGATTCAAGACAAAACTAGAGAATGGATGCAACTATGTTGATTGAGGTGACATCAAGTCTACGTAATAATGATCAATATTTACGCTAGTCTCAATATCTCCTACGAATTTCAACTCATGAAATAAGTAAAATATCTATTTTTACTTCTCCTGAAAAATGTAGTCTATAGAAAAAACTTTTGAAAATGTTTTCTTTCATTTAGAGATGAATACCTGATATAAGTTTGTTAATATAGGATTTTTAAATATTTCTTTACGAGCTCAACAATCTGATTACGAGAAACATATTATGTATAGTGTGTAAATATAAACATATTTAATTATTTCCATCCACATGAGGACCACATATACTGGTAAGCATGGATGTGAAGTTCCCATTGTTACACAGTGTTAAGTTGATCGCATTTGTTTGGAAGTTCGATTTAGCAGAACTATTTCTGCAAACGATAAGGAATCGATAGAATATCAGTTAAAGTAGAATTATTTTTCTGTTATCCCATTAAAATGTTACTTCTAGTAGAATGTCTATAACAAAACTATTCAATAAAATATAGGCATTTTCTGAAATGATTCAAGTGAATTAATTAACACCTATATCTTGTAACCCATATTGATATATCAGAGATTTTCAAAGGCTTTTAGAGTCATTAGTTGAATCAGTGACTTTTTGTTAGTGATTTAGAACCAACTTAGTACATAATGTTTGCGAAAAATAATTATTCGAAGTAATCAGGCATATTGAAAAGAGCAAGAACAAAGATTTTAGCAGTGAATGAAAAGACAACCTTTGATAAACACCAAGCACACCTAATTTTATCCAAATACAACTTAAAATATTAACAGTTTGCACTTTAATCTGAGACATGAATCCTCGACATCAAATTGAAGGTACAATGTTCGCGACGACCAGAAATAAAGAATTGTGACTCATTAATTACAATTAACTAATTTTACTACTCGTAAGTAGATGAGGTGTAGATGAGGGATATTTATGTCATAGCTAAAATTTACAGTTAATTTTCAAAAATTTGACATATTTTAAAGAATAGAAATGTCAATGCTGATTATGTATAAACTTTAGTGCTTAAACGGATTATTGTGTACAACAGTTAGATTAATCATGGAAGCATCCCTGTACTATAATACGATTTATTATTTTAATGTATATGCTTTCATTATAACAACATTAGTTCAGCTACGTAAGTTTTCTCCGTTTTAATTTGAAAAACCTGTGAATTTATATTTAATTGAGATAATTAACATGATGATTGAGTCTTGTATGTCAGTATGCATGCGTTTAATGAGTAACGAATAGTTTTGTCGAACAATAACCATTTAGATATATAAGGTGCAACATAGGGTAATGTCTTCAACCTGTGATCGAATACAATCACGAACAATATAACTAATTTCTACATACATGAAAAATTGTCATACGTACAAGATTGTTTTCGGAAAATCCTGAGTATCATATAGTCTGAAGAGGCAGTAGTGGAAGTATGCGATGAACAATCACGGGAGGTAGCTGAAGATAATTTTAAACAAACTATTCAAAAACTAAGTGGATATTTTATAAAAATATCAGAAATAAGATAACGACTTAAAACAACATAGACGTTTATGGTTCCTACTGTTATTTAAAAGGAGAATTTTCAAGGAGAATCCTGCTAACAAAATAACAAGAAACTCTAATCAAAAGATTATTCCAATACAAATAAAAACAACAAAAACTAATTAGTTCATTGTTAAGCTACTTAAATAAAACAAACTTATATTGGTTTTTAGTTTTATAAATGTTTACTCTGAATGAATGTGATACTACAAAAGATTAAACACATATTATATATATTAGGATCTATGGTAGATTTTAGAAACACATGCTTAGCATAAGGGGATTTGTGCTCAAGCTACTACATACAATTAGAAACGCGTTACAGTTAGAAATAATGACGTTCATCTATAACAATGAAAAAATAATTGTTTCTAATGTTATCAATTAAAAGCGACTAATTGTCTTAAATTTATTAAAAAGTGGTTAGATTATGGAAATTATTTGAAGAAATGAACCAAATTATCAGCTGATTCTATATATGGAGAAGAATCAAACAAACTAGTCTTTGTATACCAACATAGCTCAACTTAACAGTCAATGTGTACATGGAATAATGCTGACACAGTTTGGCCTCTCATAACTTTCTTCAAAACCTACTTCTGCACTGATGGGCGCCGCTTATCGAGGAAGGAGGTGGTCAGGCATACGTGGCATTTGTCATAAGCATCTCCGTTAATGGACATTCTTTACCTCATCAACAGATTTATCGCTATCGCCTTGCTCTATGCTTAACTTCATTATTGCCCACTCGCTTGTTCCAGGAAACGCGAGTAATTTTTAAAAAATACTTATGATCGAGAATCTTCAGCCTATGCATGCCATTAAATGTCATAGACCATGTTTATAAGGTACAGAGTAACACAGAGAAGACTTCTGAGCAGCCTAAAGGCATACTTGTTGTCAGGCGGATATCGGACCTATGATGCAAGTGATATAAGTTTGTAAAAGCCATGCGGGATTAGAGAAATAGATCCTGAGTTTCTTTTAGACACCAACCCATCAGAGGTGGTGAGACTTCTAAGATAAGAGAAGTGGTCAACGCGCTCAACCACTTCAAAATCAGTTAAAAAACCCTGAAAATATTATACAGCTTTCTAGGAAAACATGCAGTAGCTATCTACTTAGTTCACGAAATAATTATTCTATTGACTATCATTCGGTCGAAGTTTCAGGTTGCTCAAAACCAAACACTTCAAACTAATCAGGGATCAATCTAGTAGTTACGATAACACAATGTAGCTGTTCACATACATAACAAACATAACAAAGATTTAAACATGCTAGCCAAACTAAAAACAAGGAAATCTTGGCACACGAAATATAGCAAAGATAATCTAATGCAAATATCAAACATATGAAACATACTGAATTAGATCAATAAAAGAACAGACAAATTCAGAACATAATTTCTGCATAATATTGATCAGAAATCATGTTGCTTTAAATGTTACCTCTTTTTTGTCACATCTCTTATATATAAATAAATGATCATAGAGTGGTGAGATATTGTATGAAATTAATTGCCAGCTTTATAAACTATGAGATGGTATTCTATATATATATATATATATATATATATATATATATATATATATATATATATATATATATAATAAAATGATATTGTTAAAATTTCAAAGTACTTTACTTGTAGATAGAATATATAACAACATGCTTAATGTTTCAAATGTAGTGTTAATAAATCGTTGATGAGAATCTAGTTCGGTTTACATTGAAAAAATTTCCATTACCTTAGGATAAATTGATCTGATAACAGTTCATTAGCGCTAGCACGATTGGATGGTTCTATGATAAATGTTTTCAGTATGAAGTTTTTGCAAGCTACTGAAACTCCATCAGGGATCTTGGGGTGTTGCAAATCCATACCAACTCGATATAGAGCAGTCATTGCATTCCCAAGCTAATTTGAACAAAAAACGAAAGACAGTCGAAGAAGTGAGATAGAGAGAAGTATTGAAAATTCCTACAAAACTAAGAGGCAGCAAATTCTGTTAATTTTCAAGACTGTTCAAAATATGTATGTATGAATGAATCAAGTATAATTTCAGGATGATAATACAAAAACTCACACTAGGAAACATAATTGAATATAATAGATAAACTGTGTGAACTCAGGGAAAAATATGAGACAACTGGTCTAGATGTCGAATATTGACTGATCGGCAAATTGGAGCTAGTAACAGTTGTATCAATAAAGCCCACCAAATCCACGAAAGAGAGCAGAATACGAAGAAGCATAAATTAACAAACTTATCAAGATCTACTTCAACAAATGGAGGTGATTACTTCAGCGTTACTTCGGTCATCAATGTTATTTAAGTCCATTAACAGCTATATAGATATGGTTTTGAAAAACTCTAGATATAAATTGTTTTTCTGGTCTCATCATAAGTGTGGAATGCATTAAATATATATGCTACTGGATTCCTTTAGCCTAATCATGTAAAGGATCAAACATTACTTCTGTATAATAAGACAGTCTATTGTCGTTACATTCGGTTTTTCGTTGGTGAACAGAGATCTCATTGGGTTCATATATTTGATCTTTGGTAATCTATTTTTATTGTACTATTAGTAACAAACTATTCTAAATTATGGACAATCGGTGTTCTTTTTCCGGTAGTCCATATTACTTTTTAGTACACTAGTACATATTCATCATATTGTAACATCATGTTCACTTGTTTTATTTTTTATGTAGTTGTTAAACTTATTTCCTATCATTGAGATTACTTGAAAACGTGGTCTTCAGTGGATGAAATTATAAATACTGTACATAAACCAAAGAAAGACATTCAAAGTAAATGGAATGACTATGAAAATTATGTGCTTTCAGTTTTGGATAGGTGGTGTTTAAATTGTCATGTTATTTCTTCTTCATATTTGTTTAGTCGAATATGTAGACTTAATGTTAACTCGATTATAGATGAGAAGATAAAGTTAACCCACATTTTCAAGCAGCGATGCTGAAACAAGCATGGGAATTAGTATGAGTGATGGATTCACAATTGTGTTTATATGTAACTTCAACAGGTTTAAACCAAAAGCGCACATAGAAGTAAAATATTGAGATCCAGATTTCCTTTCGTTATTCTATATACAAGTAGTAATTATAAAAGATGTGAAAGTTTATAGAAAAATAGTTATGCAGTCTTAAGCACAAAAATTGATCACATTCACTACATTTTTATGGTTGAAATTGAACAGTTGATTAACAAAATCAGGATCTTGTTTTAAGTATGAGTTTCACAGAAGTCGATGGGTTACTTAAAACAAAAATGCTACCTTCTTATAAATAAAGTTTCTATAAGTTTTAACGTTTACGTAAGTATAGAAACGGTTAATTGTTACCTAACATCTGCCATTTGATTCATTTGGAACGTAATTGTTTGACCGGAGAACTAAATGGAATTAAGTAGAATTGTTCTTTGGTATTACGGATATTATTTGATTACCTGTACATCTCATTTATGTGTTTGTAAGATTATTTTAACATCCTACTGTATGGCTTGAAGTAGTAGATTGTTGGATATATTTCGTTAGAAACTACACGTTACGAATTGAATTGACGTTATCTTTAGATTATGCTATGAGCTTAATCTATAGAAACATCACAACGAAGACCAGAACATAACCAAATGACATGGAAACTAGTGATTCAATTTCAACCATAGAACTTGAAATGATACGCAGCTTATGATCTAAAGGGAATCAATCTATTAATTGTCACCTGTAAATGTACTGATTACCAATATCCTTACAGATGAGACCACAGCCGAAACCAACTATTATTTAAAGAAGTCTTAAAAACAACAAAACAAGAAGTTACGACTTCACTTCAGAGTCAAACAGAAGAAAACTCAGAAGGGAATAAATTGTTAAGTAAAAATGATTGACGATAGTTAACGAGGAAGAAATAAACATTAATCACTTTTGGATTTAACATTAATAGAAAATCAGAGGGTATGTAGATCTGTACTAATACCATTCATTTGGTTTATATCACCACTGATCTTACAGCTTTATACGTTAAACTACTTATTCTCTAAACAAAGGTTGTATAATGGTGTAACCAATCCGCTGACGAGCATACACCGCCTATTCTTAGTATGAAAGACCTTTCACTTTGCAGCACACTACTTTTTTGAATGGTACTATGTGATGTAAATTTTTCACGTATTTGGTTCGTACTAAATATTCTTGACGCCTAGTCGGAGTACTCATACTAAGGGAGATTTCCAACAATGCTTTACGTTCTATACACTGATGGGAGGGACTAGAACATTTGTCTGCTAAGTAAACAAAAGTACAGAACGCCTACTTAAAGCTTTACTTCTAATCACATTCAGTAAGTAGTGTATTGTAACTAGTTTTGTGCGCTGTGGTTACAAATTTAATCTTTATGGGCTGAATATACCTGATTAGAAGTGAACAGTTTCAAAGAAATGTTAAAAATTGTCATTATCTGATTGTATATAAACTATAAATGTTAATGAGATCTTGGAATTTCGCCATGTTGAACTTGTTCATACAAGCTGTGAGTAAACCTTACTAATCACAGCAAATATTGAATAAGTTGAATTATACCTTTGGTTTATGTGTTGAATATACTGTCCTTGCGTGTAAACAAAATGTTTACATGCATCTAAACAAGGCTTGGAAAGACTTTTATCTTCATCAAATTATAAATTGATTCAGAATATTTGTTTACATATTATTACCTCACTGAACGGCTGTTTTCCTGTCAACATTTCTACAACAGTACATCCAAAACTCCATATATCAGCTGGAAATCCACAACAACCCCTGATAAGTTCTGGTGCCATGTAGCGCATAGTACCTTGAATAATGAACATTAAAAACAGTAAAATATGTCAATTACGACAACATAGACAGGATTATTCCGAACTCAAACTAGAGTTATTGAATTGTGTTGTAGGCGGTTGTGATACTTTCAAAATATTTATAGATAGAAACAACTCAAATGCTCTTCGTTAAAGTGCTAAGTAGTAATAAGCTTAAACTTATGCGTCCAGAAAGAAACAGTCATCGATTTATTACCAGGTGATTTTCCTGAGCACAAAATCATCAAGTATTCAGTCAATCCAGTTCGCAAATGCATTGCCTTATGTACCCATACCACGTCACTAAAGCAAGACTAAATCACTAAGACAAATTACAGAGTAGTATTAGTAGTAGAAATAGTAACAGTAGTTATATTAATGTAATGAACGAAACTCGTGTAAGGTAAACCGAATTATTGTCCAATGCAAAATCACACAATAGCCTACTAAAATATGAAAATCATACATTTGTACTGCTTTTGTGCATTATCCTTTATATATCCTTTATATAATTATGTTGCTCTTTTGATTGCTTTTCTATTTCATCCCTTTTCTTCCCGTCTTAATATTCTGCTTCCTATTGCTGCTACGTACTACTTATATCTGTCAGCATAAGCAGCATACACGACAATGGTTGTAGGAATAATTAGTCACAGACTATATGATTCGGGAAGAAAGAATGAATTAAAGAAGTAGAAACTCAGGATCGAAGATATGACAAAGAGTAAACTGATCGACATCGTTGTGACTGACTCTGAACCTCATCATTCAACGTTGCTAACTGTTGGTTACGAAAGTCGCGAGAACCCTAATCGGACAGTCTGTATCAATTATTGTTGTCCGATTTGAAACTAATCTTTTGTTCATCGGGTGATTATCAATCATCCATAACTTATGTAAACTCATATCTTTTGTAACTAATCAACAACTATTATTAATTTTCGAATTTTAAATAATAAACTTTTTACTTAGTTTGTTTCTGGTAAAAGTAATATCAAAGTCAGAATTTTCAACACAAATGTGAAGACAGTTCTACTATATGGGGCGGAAACTTGGAGAACTACGAAAGCCATCGTCCAGAAGATACAGGTGTTTATTAACAGTTGTCTACGCAAAATACTTCGGATCCGTTGGCCAGACACTATCAGCAACAAACTACTGTGGGAGAGAACAAACCAGATTCCAGTGGAGGAAGAAATCAGGAAGAAGCGCTGGGAGTGGATAGGACACACATTGAGAAAAGCACTCAACTGCGTCACAAGGCAAACCCTCACCTGGAACCCTCAAGGCTAAAGGAGAAGAGGATAACCAAAGAGCACATTACGTCGAGAAATGGAGACAGACATGAGAAGAATGAACAATCATTGGATAGAACTAGAAAGGAAGGCCCAGGACAGAGTGGGTTGGAGAATGCTGGTCGGCGGCCTATGCACCTTGAGGGGGTGGTTGACAGGCATATGTAAGTAAGTAAGTTCTGGTAAAAGTATAATTTGCCATAGAAGCAGGTATATCATGTAACTTAAGCACCATTTAAAGTTCATTTTATCGTTGTATCATAGATATTTTAATTGATTTAAAATATTCCAAAAACCAAATATTGTTGATTTTCACTTCATTTATAATAACACAAACTCTGTCTATCTCTGCACTTAAAACTTTGAGCAAAATAATTGAGCTATTATCTTAATTCCGAATGGTTAGCTCAAAGCTGTCGGTATATAATACTTTAACCTGTTTTCTTGATATACATTCCAATAATCTTACATATGGATATGTAAGTATATACACGTACTAATTGATAAACTTTGTCACCTTAATTAATTGTTTAGCATTGTTGATTATTGGTTATCAATACGAATAATTTTCAAGAAGCTGATACCTAGAAAATGATTCAGAAACTTGGTTAATATTAAAATTCATGTCACCGAAATCATAATTAAATGTTTTTCGTTTTAATGGAATGACAAACGATTGATTAAATTAATTTCGAACAGCTGATTGGTAAATTACATTTGAATTAATTATTAGATTTTTTTTTCATAGTTATTCACATCATATGATGATGATTCAAGATCCTTGTTTATCTGTTTTTATTCTGTTGTCAATAGATATAATGAATTCACAGACAGTAAAATTTGATTATTCTCTTAATAAGTGATATAGTTTTTTTGTGGCTCATCAAATACATAGTGAAATTTTTGATTTACCAAAAGGCACATAGTTCTATGATTAAAAATATTTCAATATTAAACTTGGCGAATTTGATCGACAAGTGATTGAATAAATTGGGGGTTGTAAAACTTTAAGAACATAATTCCTATTACTAATTTCTTTGATAATTTTGTTGTAGTATAATAGCTCGCTTGTTAATAATTTTAATTGTGAACACATTCATTACTCCCTGAATAGCTGTTTTCATTAATCTATTTATAATCAAGAGGCTGCGGTTTGCTTTCCTTATAGTTTATAGTATGCCATCATTATTTGTGTCATAAATTGTATTTTGCAAAATACATAATGGGTTATTTTGCTAAATCGAACAAAGCTAACAATGTAACCCAATAGACATAAAGTTTAAGCGCTCGTCATGAAGTCGGGAAGTCCTGATTCCAGTCTCTGGTCGTAGATAAGCACTACTTAGTCCCATATTAGGATAAAATAGCTGTTTAGTACTTTCTGAATTTTATTGGTAAGGTCCATCCGTGGAATAAACAAATTTCTGAACAAATTAGTATGAAATATAATTTAAGAGACTGTTAGTCTGAATACAAGTGCATATACTAAGAAAGCATTCTAATAAGGTTGAAATTTCAGTGACATTAATTTTGTCAGTACATTCATTATTTCAATGAAATTTTTGTCAGATATTTATGGCATGAAATTTACTTACCTTTAAATGTTTGAGCTCGTGGAATCAAACCTGCTAGTCTTTTTGATGCTCCAAAATCTGTTATTTTCAGTTCACCTTTATACATATTAACGAGAATATTATCTCCTTTAATATCTCTATGAATAATTCGATTTGCATGCTTTTTTAATAAAATGTAATATGGTGATAATCATTAGTAGTGAAAATGAGCGGTATAAATATATTTTATTACAAGCTAAAAATAATAAAGTTGGTTGAATAGTTGAATAAGACCGTTTATGCTATATTGATATGATTAAAGTAATAAAATGTATTTAGGTAACACTAGTAAAATAGCTACTAGGTTTCACTGATATATGAATGTAAGTTTTCTTATTCAATTATTCTGTATTAACAGATAAATAAATAAGGCAAAAACTGTACCGGGGTAGATCGGAACATGAAAAATCAGATACCAATGTTCATTGATTTACTGGTGGTGACATTTTTTCACAATAGTTTGTTGATTGAACCGTTTTATCATCTGAATTACTTATAATTGTTAGAACAAGTAATTAATGAAAATGAACAATTTTAGTCTTTCTTAAATTACGTCCACCGTTTGGGGCTGAAAGTCAACTAATTATTTGAGATTTTCGGTTAAGCAGTGCTATTTGTATTAATAATTACTACACAGTTCTTTTTATTTCTGATACAGACTACTGAAAAGTAATGAGTATGCTTAGAAAATAATGGAATTTCTCAAACAGACTGTACTGAAAAGTTATATATCATACTAGAAAACTTCGAGATTATAGAATTTATACATTAGTTTGTCATTTTATTTAGCTACATAAATAAATATTACTTGTAGAGAAAATCAATGGACGAATGAAAAATGAAAAAAATCATTATTAAAATAGGTAAACATTAGAGCGATCTGGTAGATATAATGTTGTTTTTGATTTTTGATATCGACAGTGAGTAAATATATCCCATTATTACCTGTGTTAAGATGTACCTGCCGTTTTATTTTATCAGTTAACTACGTAAAAACCTATTCAAATTGAATTAAAAATTATTAATTTTGAGTGTTTCTTTTAAGTTTAACAAGCGGTCATGAGCTTAATCCATACAATACTAACTTTATATGATACCGAATATCGGATATAGGCAATAGCCAAGCGTCTATATCACATTAGGCATTCAAACTTACAGATCCTGACTTATAAATGCGTTAGCTAACTCGGAATATCTCAGAATACACTAAATACGTACAACTAATGATTTGAAGCTGCGTTTGATCACGAAAAATTGTTTTATGCGACCTATCTTGAGGTGGGAGTATATTTTAGTTCATGGAGGATGATTCCTTGTAAGTTAAATTCAAGACATATCGTGAATCTTATTACATAGTTTTAGTAAAAATACTCACTAAATATTGTAGACCTTCCAATATTTGTTTTGAATAATTTGCCACTGTTTCTTCTTTCAAAGCACCATATTTTGAGACAAGTGATGTTAATGACGCTACAAAGAAAAGAGTATCAATTCAACACTTGAAATGATCATTCGATTACTCATTTCACGAAAAAATGTCCAATTCGTTAGTGATATCAAATTAAAAAGTTATTGAGGCGGAAACATTTAAAAAAATGTAGTTTGGTTAAATATCTATCACCCAACCATCATCGTGAATATTAAATATAGCGCTAAGCTTTTTGATCAACGCTGATAAGCATATGAAACAGAGAGAGTTATAAGGTCTATTTAGTTAGGGTTCTAAATTAATTAGAATAAAGTAGTTACAATTACACTGGACAAGACGTACCGCCAGGAACCAGTTCCATAAATATCATAAACACTCCTTCATGATCCACAGATCCAAAGTACTGTACAATGTTTTTATGATGAAGTCTTGAATGTAATCGAATTTCATCATGTAGCGGTTGAAATTCCCTGAATGAAAACGAAAATATAGAAGAATCGTTTAGTTGTTCAACGCTATGAAGCAAATTACTTTATTTAGCGAAATGTTTGCATCAAAATTACAAGTACTAACGTATTCCGTAGAGAAAAACCAAAAACGATTAATATAGGCAATAGTATTGACATATATTTACATAAAACAAAATTTCTTAACGCTATGCTCATTTAGCAAACATATCTGTTATCTTCAATTCTAGGATATATTAAAAGGTGAGTTTCTAGTGAAGTTATCTGCTGAAGTGATATATATATATATATATATATATATATATATATATATATATATATATATATATATATATATATATATATATACATCGCCCCAGTGGTTAATAATAACAAAATACACTGATATTATTAAGAAACTAAGGTGATTTCTCATGAACATTTTAAGTGGCTTGATTAAGTACAATAATTTGTTGATAATTGAGTCCATAACAACAGTTATATAGATCTATTCTGACAAAAATAACTTTTTTAAAAAGAAAAAATGACTTCATTGGACTTTGGAAGGGTAAGGTGGAAAAAGACTTCAATCACATAATGATTTGGTTACTGTCTAATGACAAACGTCAAATAACTTGCTTATAGTAACGTAACGCATAAGTTAAGAATTTTCAATTTCCTATCTATCTTTTTGTTTCCATCTATGATAAACATAAATCTGTCAACTAAAATGCACAGTTTCTATACTAAGCATGATAAATCATGTTTAAATAGATCAGGTCATAAATGCCGATATTAGATAGTTTATTCATGCTTATTTATTCATTAATCAGTCTCTCTATCACACCTTAAAATAATAAATTATATTTTAATAAAAAGATATTTCTCTAGTCTTAGATACTCTTCATCACGTTTATGAAAAACCTCTTTTTGTCATATACATTTTATTTGGAATTTGTTCAAGAAACGTTTAATTCTGTTTTTTTTTTCGTTTGTTTTCAGTTATGAAGGTTAAATGTGTATTGACTTCATTGTCTGTGAAACGTTCACATATATTTTGTTCCAATTGATCTTGTCTTTATGTTTGTAAACAAATAAATGATTACTTGTAGCCAACAAAGGTTATCTTATGATTTAGTTAAAATTCTTATACTTTCTACATACGTTTAAAATCAAAATATTAAACAATTTTATTCTATTTTCACGTGGTATAAACAAATTATTTTCTTAGTGAAAACAATTTACCATCTTTTTTTCATATCGCTGTTATTTAGTACTATTCTACTGTATTTAGGCAGTTATATTTTGTAAAAGAGATTATAGTAGGAGTTTAGAGGTAAAAACACTTGAATAAATGAACAAATAAACAATTAAAAAGGAAAATGAAATCTATTTATTGATAGTGTAATATACGTTTTTCATGATTATATAGTAGTTTGTAGGTAGTAGTTATTCTTTAATTGAAAATTGATTCGATAAATATTAACAATTGTTATCATAAACTGATGTTTTGTAATGATTACTTTAGATGGAGTTGCATAAAGAAAGATTTGTGTAATCTGAAAACTGTTGATTTCTAGATGTAATTAACATCTGTTCATCATGACTGTTTGAAAGTAATTAATATCACAAACGTTGTGTGTAAAAATCTCATTCATGTAGATTACCATTGAAGAGAACGAGAACTGAGGTGGGGTAAACCAGTTTTATGTTTAATGAATAAATGCACAGTCGATTAGCAAAATATGAAAATCATAAATTAAATACATCATTTGTACATTTTCTTTGCGTTGCCTTTATATGTCTCATTATACTTTTATTTCTGTTGTTATCTCGATCGCTCTCCAATTTCCTTCCTTTTCTCTACATTACAATCTTCTGCTGCTAGGTATTCCACTTCCGACTGTTGCTACACACTACTTATATCATAAGTAGCTAAGTGACATACACCACACCACAAAAAATCAATTTACTAGCAATACAATACACTTATTTTACAAGTAATGATGTAGTAATATGATGTTAAATGGGTTTTCCACCTGTTCATGAAAGAAATACTCATTAAAAGGCCATGGGTTTGAAACATGGATTTTAAAATGTGTATCTGGATCTACATGTATCTATGCATAACCTGGAACTCGAAGAAAATACATTATCTATTAAATAAATGAGATGATGCAATAATAATTTATCATACCTTATATTCACTGCATCAATTTCTTTGATAGCCATTTTAATTTGCTTTGTGAGGTCCCAACCTGTATAAACCACGCCGAAACTCCCTCTACCTAGAATTTCACGTTCATTACGATCATTCAAATCATATGTCCACTATAAATATATAAATTAAAAAGAACAAATTCAATGGAATTATCAATTGTATTATAACGTGCCACAATTGAAATCATAAAGAAATGTCATTAGTTTTTGTGAAGTATACTATTCTATCATGTCAAATTGTATGCAGGACTAGAATTCTTTTCTCATGACAAATACACAATAATAAATACTGACAAATTTAAACTCCTCACATAAACAGCAGGAAAATATAAACCACAAGTACAATAGTATGATGATTTTCATCAAATTTTGAGCAAATCAGCATAAGGACAGCTAGTGATTTAGTTTTGAAATATTAAACACAATAGTATTTGGTAACTAAAGAAGTCTGAAATGTAACTGTAAACATTTATTTGTATTAAACTGTTTTGACTCCGTTTTTCCAAGATCTGGTCGATGAATTACATCTAAATTTTATTTTGTATCATGTTATTTTTGTAATCATTCTGATTGATATTTAGTTGTAGGTTTAACTCAAGAAGGATTAATGTACGCAGATTTTATTATTTTATACACAAACTAATATCAACACGTGTTTAGTTCGATGTGAATGCCTATTTAAACCTGTTTTTTAAGGTAAACTTATTGAGACCAGAAAACAATTCCTTTTACTGATGTTTACAGTGTAATAACCTATACTACCTATTAACAATAACGATTAGAACTGTTTCGTTGGAAAACATTGTAATGAAATGTAGCTGTGTTGGATACTTATTCTTTATTATCTTTATGATAAGATGTGTAATGTTTTTATGAAGTAAGATCAACATTCTATTTACAATCACTGAAGTTTAATACTAGGTCATATATATTCTCTGTATAATTCACATTCTTTGCTTAATTCAGTTAATTCTATTAATAAATATTTACTTATACATATTTCATTATTTATGCACGGATTACATAAACAAAGTTATATGTTCATCCAAACAAACATGTTTTTTTTTCTGAATTATTTGGATGACCTAGACAGTGTTTGAATGAAATTAGAATTTGAAGTGTACTGTGTGTCAGTTGATTTATAGATACATTTTATTTTCATGACAAATTATGTTGTGGGTTGAACTAGATTATTTTCTAATTATCAAATTAAAAATAAATGAAGTAAACTACTTTTTAAAATCAAAATATACTTTAAATGGTTCAGAAGAATGTTCGTCTAGTAATAAACCAGAATTTTCCTCTTCTGAAAAAAGACAATCACGTAAGACCGTATAAAACCTTTGAATAAAAAAATGGAATAATTGAAAAAATTGACATATTAAGCAAACTTTATTAATAGATAAAGAACAAAGTTTTCGAAAAAAATATTGGATTATATTCAGAAAAGAAAAATGAACGTGACAATGCTTGAAATACTGAAGTTTTTATTCTGTTAGTTATAAACATTATTTTGATGAAAACCTTTTTTAACTGAGATTATGCTTTGTATTCTGTTGATATGAACCAGCAAGAAACTGTTCGCATTAAAGAAATTAAATGTCCACAGAAATTTGTCACGAATTATTGAAAAGTGTTTAAAAAATGACCCAATAATGTAATTGTTAAAAAGCCTATATGCATCTGTATTAAGACGATGCTATTAAGGAACTTCCTTATAGCCTAACTTTCTTTTAGTATCCAATACTAAATGTTTTTAAACCAATCAGAAAAATGTTCAATATGTTTCTGAGATTATCTTCAAATATGTCTTTGAATTTACGTGTACTTACGATGCCAAGTTTATAGGAAGGACTAAAAGAAAGGCATTTACATATCCATATCCATTCACAACTGAGTTTTAAAGGAAGTTTTTACTAATGCGATTACCCGGGACCTAATGGGCAGTTAACGTATTGAGAACATAAAAAAATAACCAACAAGTTATGAACGCCTCATCTACTCTCTTTTGTCACTGCTGTCAAGCCTTCTCAACTTGACCTTTGTATACAGAAAGACAATATAGTAAACCACACATTGCTATGGTTCAATGTTTATAGTGATATAAAGGTCAATTAGATGATCTCTTTATTTCATTCTATACATTTTTGCCATTGCACTGAGATTCACTTGTATGGATTAATTTAATTTTATATATAATAACAAGATGGCCTCATTACATAATCACTCATTTATCAAAAAAATATCTTTCATTTTGTTCTTTCATCATTATTCTCGACATTACTTTATATGATTTCATTTTGAACATTCAAGTACTAGTCACTGTTTACAACAATGTTAAATATGTTTTGTCTTTTTCCTGCTTCTAATATTTTTCTGTGTTATTTCGAGATAAACTGCACGGACTAAGATATGGAAAATTCTTTTTTAATAACATAATATGAAAAGTTATAAAATAGAATAAATGGATTTTATGCTGCAAATCTTGTCATTACTGGTTTATTTAAATTTTGCAAACAAAATAATGAATGAAATTAGATTTTTAATTAACAAGCTTGAAATTGAGATTGATAAGATCAGAATTTTATGAAAGTTTGTAAATATTATTATCAGCAGTTGAATTAATAAGTTCTATTAAGCGGATTACTAGATGGACAGGTTATAATGATGAAAATAATAACATGTTTTTGTAGTATCTGAATGCAAAGGAAGTTGAATTTCTGATGTTTAACGACTCACTGTAAGCCGTTTTTATAAAGAACCACCTTTTTAAAGTCAATGTTAGCTTAAATAGTATATGGAACAAAGAAGGTCAAGCAAACATCTGTGATTAGGATATTTAAGTCGAAGGTTATTATCCAAAAGATGTTTTTGTCCGTTAAAGGGGATGCAAATGTGTTTGAAAAAAATGTGATATTTGTTGTGAGCACTATTGGATTAATGTATGGCATTGAACATGTTTAACCCAACGATTTAGATAGATTACCTAGGCAAATTTTTTTACAAAAATATATACCATTAAAGGGATCAGCATTGATAAGATTTGTAATCTTTGGCATTTTGACTGATACCACTAGTACACTGCTCACGATATCCCATAAAACTCTAGGATTTTGGAAGTCAATACAGCTTATGGCTATTTCTAAGTCAAAGGATATCCAAATAAAATACAAAATTAACCTAAAGCATACAGTGAAGCAATTCAGAACGAGAAAGGTTATGACGCATATATTAAAACATGGTTAAGTGTTAGTGTTAGAAGATTAGGGTGTTATAGTAAGGGTTTTCATCGCAAACTGACATCAACTTTAATGTGGAAATCATAAGCAATCAATAAATTAGCTAAGATGACTAACAACTCAAAGTAGCTCGGTTGTGTACTTTATGTTTAACAAGTACAATAATACTTCCTCTTCCTCACTGATTTTTATTAATCTCCATAACGAGATACTTGTCAAAATATTAATCATCCTTTTTATAATCCTAATATAATCGAGTGATTTTATCAGTCAGTTAACTGAAAAGTTGTCGAGCTACTACATTTGAACCTAATGAATCATGTTTCGACATTGTTTGAATCCAAGAGCAATTGTTTAAGTGCTTGTACATTGCTTCATTTGTTTGTCATCATATTAGCGTCTATATAGCTACATATCAAATTAATGGTTCACAGAATGAAAGTCAGGGAATTAAAAAAATTTTCTTGAGTTAAAGTAATTAAGGTAAGGTCAATAATTAATACTTACTGCATTTTAACTTTTTCACAGGAAAATGATATGCGGTAGTTTGGTAAAGAACAGGTAGTGTATAAATAAACACTGCGACTATTATTTTCTGTCATGCTAAAAAGAATAATAAAATCTAATAGTTATTATGTTGGAAATTGAGAGAAATTCATAAGTTTTTAAATAGTAAAACAAAGTATAGATGACATTCAAATGGTTTGGAGTTAATTTGAAGATGTATAGCAATAGAATTATCTGATGTATTTATTAATTTATAATCAAAGGCTTATGACAAAAAAAGACTTGCTCTTTTATGAAAGAAACCTATTGTTATTTATGTAATAGTGTATTATGAATTATATACTGACTGAATAAAGCAAATATAAAGAATGGATGGAACATTATATATTTTACTAATCTAATCAAATATCATATCTAAGATGTTTGAAACTTTAAAACACTCTATTATTAATGTGATAATCACTGAGAAACCAAAGATCTTTCTACGAAATATTGGTAATCTTTTTAACTTTAGCTATCTTCTTTGGATATGCCCCACATTACCATATCATAAAATATGCTTCATAACTGCTTGTCCAATTACAAGGAATTGCTGGTTAGATTTATTGTCTTAATTGATAAGTTTGAAATCATGAGTCAGTTGAAGCTAGACCACCATTGAAAACCTGGAAGCACTGGACGGCCGTTTCGTCCTGGTATGGGACTCCTCAGCAGTGCGCGTCCACGAACCCGCACCACCCGGGGCTCGAACCCAGGACCTACTGGCTTCGCGCGCGAGCACTTAACCACTAGACCACTGAGCCGGCATGCAACGGTGTTAATGTCTAGTTCTAGTAAGAAGTCGTTACCAGTGGAGTTCAACCAGGTCTGTTGTGAGATAGGAACTCACTGAAGACAATGGTGTACGGTAGCGCAACTTCGTGGATTGGTTGAAGTTAGACATTAACAACGTTCGATGCCGGCTCAGTGGTCTAATGGTTAAGTGCTCGCGCGCGAAGCCAGTAGGTCCTGGGTTCGAGCCCCGGGTGGTGCGGGTTCGTGGATGCGCACTGCTGAGGAGTCCCATACCAGGACGAAACGGACGTCCAGTGCTTCCAGGTTTTCAATGGTAGTCTAGCTTCAACTGACTCATGATTTCAATCTGCGAAAATTTCTAAAAAAATCTCCACAAAACACATTCTGATATTAATTGATAAGTGTTAATTATTTTTGGTAAGAGACATTTCAAATAGGGATAATACTTTACCTACTTCATAAACAAATTAATTGACAAATTAATCCAGTATGTATAAATCAAATGAATAATATATTGAATTTCCATTTACCTTATACCAATAATATCTTCGGCATTAAATATTAAATCTTCTTCTTGACTATGTTCATTGAAACGTGGAAAATGTTGACGCATAGTTCCACAATTTTGTAAATCGACTGATTGCACGGTTGTAGATATTGTATAGTCTAGATCGTAGAAGATAACGCGGAGATTTCTTGGAACAGCATTTATATTCACTTGAATATTAGCTGGTTTCATAACGGTACAATTTTGTTCAGTTACTAAGACTGGATATACTATTCGTTTGGTATAACTTTCATATGGTCTAATGAATGAGTCATATTCTGTTTCATCTAAAAAACAAATATTGAAATAAGGAAATGTGTTTGTTTTGCAAAACGTTTATTATATACTACAAGTAATAAGCTATGACATTTTAATTTGATCTAAAAACGTAGGGGTCTTACGTAAATACGAAACGGATTCACGTAACTGACACTGCCTAATTTCACCACTAAAACCTCGTGTATATCCGTAACACAATTCGGCAAGTCCGTCATCGTATTACAGAGCATCATCCGTCATGGTTAAGCAAAGGACAGGTAAAAGTGATTAAAAGTTCTATTCTCTCTCACTTGGTTGACACAGGTCATCAAGTTGGATTGAATAAATTTTTTAAGGTTATCTACAATATCCCATCAAATTTGCCACATGGTATACGAGTGCGCCTCTTGCACGTTGCGGAAGCCATCGCAATCCATGTTCACAAATCTGACCTTTGCATTCAAAAGAGATTCGTACAACCACTTTCTCTGCCCTGGCCATCAGTATAAGATTTCCTTCAAAAGAACTATTTTTCATACTTCTTTCACTTGTTTTTTTTTAAAATTTTGTTTCTGTTGCTTTTGAACTTTATAACATTCATCTCTTGATTCTTACGTAACTACTATCTTATTGTCCATCCATTAAAAAAATTCTGTTCCTTCTCTTTTCATATATTACGCAGCTTAGCAACTTCTTGATTTAATAATTACTTTGAATATATATATATATATATATATATATATATATATATATATATATATATATATATATATATATTGGTGTAGAGCCATGATGAAAAACTAATTGAAAATAAATTTCTTCACTCAATTCGTTCCTTCTTTAATTACCAAATGGCAAAATGGGAATTTTCACACTTTTATTTCACTTTTATTTCAACCAGGTCTGTTGTGAGATATCAGCTCACTGAAGACATTGGTGTTCGATGGCGCAACTTCGTGGATTGGTTGAAGTTAGACATTAACAACGTTCGATGCCGGCTCAGTGGTCTAATGGTTAAGTGCTCGCGTGCGAAGCCAGTAGGTCCTGGGTTTGAGCCCCGCGTGGTGCGGGATCGTGGACACTTTTATTTATTGGATGGAAATAAGAAGATATTTGAGGTGATGGATATATGCGTTGTGATTTTAAAGGTAAATCTTTTGTACAGATATCCTGTAGACTAAACATCTTTAATGACTATCAGTTAGTGTATTGATCATATTTGGTAAACGTTTAAAAATTGATCTATATTATGAATTTACTGTTAATGGTCTTTTTCTTTCAAATGATCGATATGAGAGTCAGTAACCTTTAAGATTAACAGATCAGATCATGACAAGAAACTATTTTACTCCTGAAAGTAATTTGTAATCAGTTGTCTTTTAACGACTTGAAAGGTGAAAAAAGGTAATGATATGCATATATATATACCATCATGAGTTTGCGGAGACTGCAGTTTTTTTGTGGTTTAAATTATGAATTGACAATAGCTAAATCATCGTTTAAAAACCGGAAAAACTAGATGGTCATGTTGCCCAGGATGGGTTTTCAATGGTGGTCTGGCTGAGAACAGTTTGTGCTTTAAACTGTCAAAAGTTCACAGACTCCACAAATCCCCCATACTGTTAATAATCATGTACTCATTAGTAACTACTTTGAAGACATGACCCCTGGAGTTTTAGTGAAAAGCCGTGACCATTGGAGTTCAATTTGTGTCGGATTTGAGCCAGTTAACACTGGAGGCAATGAATGAGGATTGCACAAAATCGTGAATTAGTTGGAGCTATAAATTAACACCTTCGGATAGCAGCTCACTGGTCTAGAGGTTAGGGATTCGTGGGCGGAACTGAAGGTTCTGCGTTCAATTCCAGGACGAGCGATGGTGAGTGCACGCTACTGAGGAGTCCCATGGTGGAACGAAACGACCTTTAAGTGACTCCAAGTTTACGATAGATGTCTAGATAAAGTTAGTTTCCGACTCAAACTGCGTAAATGATATATATGTTTGTAATAGATTCACGTTACTGGGAGTTATTGAGTTGGTATATAAGCAAAAAGGTGATATTTTGAATTAGTTTACTGACAATAATTTACGTTCTTTTGTTGAAATTTTCTACTATTCGAAGCACGACGTCCAAATACAATGATACTTCAATCTTATAATCCATTTGATACATTATGGTCAGAAGACTGCGAACACTCAGATTTTTAACAGTTTCTGCCTTTAAATGAATATCTTTGAAAAGAAATAAGGCGTGTTTCCAAACTATTCTAAAAAAGTTTTTAAAATGTTTGAAACATCGTTGTCTGTTATCGGGATCATTTCTTACATTGTGACATCCACTAAATATTATTGAAATGGTGGAAAATATTTTCAGCTCATGCGATTGATTTAGATATTTTCAAAACCATAAACTTACAGCCAAGGAAATACTAAATAATTTTGTATTTCGATCTCATGACTCTACTCACTTCATCAGAAATCAAATTTTACGAAGATACCTTATTTTAGCAACTCAATAAGGATTGGAACGCAATAGAACACTCAAAAACACAGTTATTGTGTTTTATAAAACCCGCAGATCTATGTCTTACAACATATTTTCAAGTCGACAGTCAAATTTTTAAAGAAATAGAAAGAACTACAATGAGACCAGCGATATCAGGAATAATCGGTGCAGCTGAGATGCATAGATTCAGGAACTGGACCAAGGTCTTGGATATGTTATGTAAACGCCATGTTATTTTAGAGAGCAGTGAACTCAAAAATACGCATAAGATGAATAATAACCTTTTTAACGGGATCAAATTTACAGGAAAATAAGAATCAGAAAACAATCCTATCGTTAAATTTTTTTCAACATTGCAGACATAGCGACTTTGGAAACGCAAGCATATAGGAAGCCAAGCCACATAGGCGAAATAATAAACTGTAATAGTAACAGTCTAACAGATCAAAGGAAGACCTGTTCAGAATAATTATGTAGAAGAGTCAAACTCGCTGAGGATCTATCACAACATGGAAAACAAGATGAACTCATTATCTATCACCCGTCGAACGGCTACCCCTGGAGCGTAATCAAAAAGTTTCTGCGGATCCACGTATCATCAAAAGATCAACTCCAAGAACCAAAAAACAGATCGTTCTTTCACATAAGAAAAACATCTCAAGCACAATCAAATAGGGTCTGAAACTATTGAAAATTAATATTGTTCATAAACCAAACCCATAATTTATCACATTTTATGCAGACAGAATGAGACAACAGCAAAAGTAAACAGATGCAACATTATCTACAAAGCAAATTGCATCAGCTGGGAGAAACACTATTCAGAGATTATGGCGAACTGTCATCAGAATTGATTACCTCAAGTGGTATTCGTCAGGGCTGTCCACTTTCTCCATTCTTGTTCAACTTTGTGGTCGACGTACTTTAAGAGATAACACTTTCTTCATCTAAATTTCCAGGGGTTGAACTTCTACCGGGAGATTCACTTGTTGACTTAAAACATGTTGATGACATAGTTTTATTTGGTGAAGACGCTGACAAAATGCAGAGTCTTATGACTACAACAATGCAGGCATGTTCGGGATGCGGTTCTGCCCCTCGAAATGCAAAATGTTGCTTCAGGATTGGGTTACATCGACACTCGAACAAATGATAGGGAGTGAAGTAATTGAACGTGTCGATCGCTTCACTTATCTTGGAAGTCTCATCAGCGCTTGTGGTCTGGTGTGTGACGAAATCTCGGCAGGGATACAGAGGGCTCGGCTACCTTTCGCCGACTTCCGTCATTTATTGCGTAGGCAAGAGATCCGTCTACCAACCAAAGGAGAGGTTCACTGAGCAACACTTTGTTCCGTCCTACTTTATGGCAGTGAAACATGGCCGGGAAGAGTAGAGGATATTCGTAGGTTACTAGTATTCGAAGCATTGCTCGTATGTCCTGGAACCACCTAGTAAGTAATACAGTACTAGGTAAGGATTGATGAAGTAATGAAACTTCATCAGTTGAGATGGCTGGAACATGTGTTACGTATGCTCAACAACCGACTGCCCCGATGTGCAGATGTGTAGATGTAGAACGGAAGAAAGGTAGGAGTGGCTAGACCAAAACATGGCGCGAATCCATGAAGTCACTGACAAGTGGACTGAGACATGTTGGTAGGTGTAGACTACCTGGTTGGGATCCGTGAGATGATAGCAACCGCTGGTTAATTACCTTGAATGGCATAGCTCAAAATCGTTGGTAATGGCGCAGGTGCATCCACACTTTGTGTCCTACCAAATTCTAATCTTCTGACTTTTTCATATCCCTGTTTGCTCTTTCCAAATTTATTTCACTGTATTATAATCTCTGAATAACATCTTCAAACCATAATCTTTCCGATTACTGCTAATACTCTTACTACCTCTACCACTACGCGATTTGAATTGACACCTGCATCTCTGTGCTAATGTGGTATGGCAACTTGAACTGATGTACGTACGTACGAAGTTCTACGTTGTTACTGACTGACTGATATTATTTAAACAAAGTGAACGCCTTCTTCACCTATGCATACGTTAACATAGAATAGCAGTGAAGCGATATGATAAGTCGTTTATATTATTCTAATTAGATTACAATAGATCCGAAAATACCACCAATATCAGCGAATTACTAGAAAAATATCGTTTAGATAAATCTTCAATAAATAGAAAAATCGACACAGACTCAATTTACTAACACATATCTAAGTGGTCAATCAGTCACATAGATGGAGATCAACTGGACGAGTCTGTCAGCAAGAATTCAAGGACGAATAAAGACAACCAATCATGGACCAGGTTATGAGGACAATTTGATTTAACACTTGTAGAATGACTGAAAATTTTGGAAGTGGATAGGACATACATTACGGAAATCATCAAACTGCATCACGAGGCAAGCGCTAATTTGGAATCCGGAAGGGAAATGAAGAAAAGGAAGGCCAAAATACACACTGCGTCGGCAAATGGAAGCAGGTATCAAAAGGATGAATAGCAACTAGAAAGAATTGTGCAGGACGGGTTTGGATGGCGAGTGCTGATGGGCGGCCCATGCTTCTCCACGAGGGGTAACAGGATTAAGCAAATATGTAAGCTCTCAACAATATGAAAATAGTGTGGTCTGGTTAGACCAGACCTTTGATTTTCTAGTAAAATAATGTTCTTCCTTGACATGACAAGATGAAAAGACGACAGTATTTAGGTCAATAAGTTTTTTGCATCAATACAGTATAAACGTCGTTCAATATGACAAGTGTAAACTTCTATGTAGTATCACAATCGTATTCTCAGTATCAATTCAGATTAACTGTGTTCACTGTGTGTTTTAACATTAACTGAGAGTATTTTCGCAAATATGTGATATTTCTAAGTATGTGTAATGTTGTGATTTTGTATGTGGTTTTCGGAACTTAGTTAGGGACGTGTTCTTGCAGTGTCGACAAATCCTAATTTCTCCAGTTTTTCGTGTTCTTAGTTTGCATCATAGGAATTTCAGAGGTTACCGTTTCAAAATATAAGCAGTAGGATTGAAAAACTGCAGTGGTTCCCGATCGTGGCGTGTAAGCAGAACGACTGAGAACCTAACAGAATCGATACAGACATAGAAGCGAGGGCATGTCAGACATAAAAGAAAGGCCCCCCAGATATAACGCCGAATCAATATTCTTATTCTTTGGTATAATTATTCTGTTAAATTTCTAACATTAACTTACCCGATGAAATTAAAAATGAATCGCTCTCATCAGTATCACACACAGTAGATAGAAACTCCATCCAAAAGTCAAATAACTATAAAGTGAACGGAATATGAAGAGATAATTAAAATTAACGTGTGTAGCGAGCACATAAAATCATGAATACGAAATGATAATTAATCTCTTTCCTTTTTTTCTATCACAGATAAAAGTGCAGCGGTGTTATGTTAATTATGATACCTATTTCTAACGATGTCACGAAAGGAAAATTCGTCATTATGCTAAGTCATATTATTCACGGCAACTTAAAATTTGAAATTTTGGTAACCTTGGTTAAGTCTTTGGTGAAGTATTTTTATTATTATTGAATTCATAAGTTTATTAATATCATCAGTATGGGTTAAAGGAATCTTTTTTATTTACACAATATTGATGATGAGGATTTTAACGAATCGAAGCTTTTATGAAAAATCTTAATTTTCTTGATTGAACAACTTGTTCACTAGGATGTATTAAAAGCTTTTTCGCATCTCGGTCTAATGATAAGCTAAATAGTCACTTGAGGCTGTTATCTTAAAAAGCAACTAAACCATGACGTGCTACTGGTTGATAATACTAGTGACTGTTGAAATGAGTTATTTCACTCGCTACTTATAATCAGTTCTTGTCGATAATCTACCAAACTTTTCGTTTAAATTCTACTTATTGAATGCACAATTCCTTGAATGTTGTATTTCTGTCCACATGATTTCCCAAACTGCTTATTTTACTCAGTGAGGTAGGTTTCATCAGCATCTTACAACATTTAACAAAATGTCAGTCCAGTTGATACAGTATCACCAAGTTGGTTATTATTCTTTTCATTCTGTTTTTCTATCTTCAAGAAAAAAAGATCATGTTTTTTGCTTATATGAAATAAGTGGCTTTAAGATGAAGAATTTCTTGACTAGCGTGTTAGAGCAATTAATAGATAGTCATTATGATATCGAATAAAATCTTTTTCAAATGTATTAAAGTTGAGTGGGTAAACTCATCAAAGATAACTTGGTTTTATCCTTGCTACCTAAAGATTCAGTATCTGGTTGAAGAAATATATAAGAATTATTTGAGTGAACAGTTTTAAACCAAACCCTTTAGTTTAATTCCAGTACACATGTATATGATTTTACTAGCATAAAGTCTTCCTGGTTTAGTAATATTGCAGAATCAAATCATAATCAGTTGACAACACTGTCTAAGACATTCAACAAAATAATGTAACATGTTTGAATATATAAACATCGCTGTGTGGTTTGATTTCTTTAAGGGAAATGAGTTTGTTTATAGAATCAGGATTTATCTGAATATGTTGAAACAGAAGTTAACTGAATATCTTTTAAAATTTAAATTGTTACACAATGTTATTGATGAGATATTTATTATGCTGAACGGCAGTGTTGTGTTATTTGGAATTTGCATGAAAATTAGTACAATGATAATTTCATAAAGATAAAATATATGCAAACGCATAAGGTAAAAACTGAATGAAATATTTCTAAAACAACAAATTAGGATCTCTACAAACTAAAATATGTAATTACCCATTGTAAAAAAGCACATTATTTGAAAGCATTAAGTAGCATTATGCAAGATGTTTGGCAAATAGATTATTTTTGAAGCTTATTTTTTAAATAATTAATTCATAACATTAATTTTTAATGAAAATTATACTACTGACTATTAATTGTAAACATAATACCTAAAGTTTACTGTGTACATAGATGTGATAGTATTGATTACATTCATTTAACAGCAGACATGTATGTGTAGAAACAGATTTGTTCTTCCATTTTAGATATGAACTCTTATTGTTGTCACCAAACACAACTATCGGTGATAAATTATTTATGTTTTATTCGATAATATAATTTATTTCATTATTAAGAAATAGGTATCATTACCAAGGTTTAGCTTGATAATTTCAAATAAGTTGAGGATTGAGTAGATTGTTACAAATAAAAAGTAATATATTTGTAATATCCCAATGAGTAGAAAACTCAACTTAACTTTTCTACTCATTAAGATATTACAAATATGTTAGTTTTATTTATTAATAAGAAGTATTATTTCTGATTTGTCTAATTATTAATTATTTATCAAATATACATAAACTATGTGGTTTATTATGCCAAATAATTAGATAGAAATATCTTTATTCTTTTAATCAGTAATTTATTTATGGTGTTAGTATGTGAGAAAGAACTTTGTGATTTACGATAAAATAATTGTAAACTAATTTGAAAGTTGGACAAAGATATGCAAGCAAATTTATGTAATATCTGTGTCATTTATGTTTAGATAGGCAAGCAATATATATGTAGGATTTTTCACTATTTGTCAGTAAGAACAGTAATTAATTACGTCTAGAATACATTTTACTTAAATATTCAATTTCATTCATTTTTCTTTAAACTTATTAGCAGTTATAAACCGAATACTATCGATTTTGATAAGGTTTCTGACATTTAAGTATTTCTGTAGTAAATATATGAATAACAATCCACAATTACGTAACGAAAGGACACAGAAGTAGTTTGAAAAACGGATATGCGTTGTAAAAAACAGTAATTCTGACCATATGTCGTAGTGTATCCACTAGGTGTTTGCATAAATTTCCTTTTTCTAAATGATCCATATATTTTAATGGTAGACTTCATGACAGAGATAAATACTTTTAGAATTGATAAAATACAATTATTGTTATGGAATGTTTGGGGGGGTATTATTCCGTTTGCAGATCATTTAAGCCACTGTGGACTTTGGTCAAACAAGCATTGAAAACTAGGTAGTTGAAAACGTTATTCAGTCGTTTTGGTAGTGGGTGGTGTTATTAAGACTTACAATTGCACAAATGAAACAATACATTTTAATATTCATTTATTTTCCAGCCAAAGTCTATCCGTGCTTCAAACCACTGGTTTCCAGTAACTTATTGCTTGTTTATTATGATTTGCGAACTATCACTTAAACGTCATCAGTTATGTTTCTATTTAAAATTAGAATGTTGCAATACGACTTAGGTCGTAAGAGCATATTGGCTTGATTTTCTCGATTATTCATCATAATGTAAAAGTAGTCGTCTCATAAATTAAAGTCGACTTAAAAATCCATATACGACGGGAAATTGTATGAAGAATATAGCGAGTTCAGGCCTTTCGCACGAAATAAGATTTATTTAAATAAAGTGAGTAAAACAAGATTTGGAAAATTTCTTTATTACGTACCATAATCAATGAAGTTTAGTTCGAAGCGACATAAGAAAAAAGTGTAACCTTTGTTCTTCTCGCTTTTGTTTAAATTTATCAAAGGATCAAGATGTATGTAATAAGAGAGTTATGTTGTTGGAAGAAAACTTTACAACTAATAAATAATGTACTGTTGTCATTTTTCCTTAACAGTCGAGTGAAGTATTACAATCATATTGTTTCCTTTTATAAGGATCATTTGCAAAGTCAACGAGCAATTTTAGTCTCGTTTTTAAGGGTTGTATAAGTAATTATATAAAAGCTAAATGAACATCAAGTGATCACGATTTGAAGAATAAAAGATTGTTTCTATTTGAATAAGTTTGATTATTGCTATTTTAGTATTAAATGAAAAAAATTCTATTAACGCAATTAGTTATCTTTTAAGGAATTTTCAGTTGTAATGTAGTTACTTACAATATAAGATTATTTTCAAATTAGATTTCTTAATTTTTTCTGCGTTCCTATTTCTGCTGAATACCGTCAAGTACTAGTTTGAGTTATTTTCTCAGGAACGTGTAAAAAAATGAACGACTCAATAAAAATCAGAAGTTCAGTTCCTTTAAAACTCACTACGTCTTTAATTTACTGTGACATTATTATCTTCTATACAGTTCTATACTCGTTATATAAGTCAAACTGTTTACCAAATAAAGTAACTGTAAATTTTCATTGTCAAGTAATTTAGTAATTCGTGTTCATTACTTATTACTATGGAAACAGGTAACTTTCAATCTTTCAAAAAATCTTCCAATCCATGTATTAAATTTGGTTATTTGTAATACAATAGCTTATTTTGTGTCAATTTCAGTCGTACATGTATTAATAATATTAAAATATTAATGCACAAAGTAAACGAGTTTTATGAATCCGTAACACTAATTTAATTGCACAAATAAGCCTGGTAAATATGTAAAAGTATATTGAGACTAAAATTTAAACTATTCAATTTTATTCTCTATGTACAGGACACATCAATTAGCTTTGATCTTAACCAGATAACAAAAAGATATTTATTTAAATCATTTTTAATATTATTTTAGTAGTCTGTACGTGAATATAGCATTTTCCAAGAAGGGGAATTTTATTAATATGATATTGGAGATTACTTATAGGTTAAATCATATAGAAGATAAACAACCAGTATAATTTACCTAAATAGTTTAATGAAACATAGAAATATTAAAAAAAGTCCTCAAAAATGGAAGAATAATTTTTTCAAAGTTTGTTATACACTTACAATCTTTATCCATCAGTGTTTTAACCTTGTTTTTATTTGGTATATTACTTGAAGCTATGCTATATGATCAATCTAAAATGCCTATCGGTACCTAACATTTAATTGGAGGGATAGCTGAGTTCTTTCTTGAGAATGGTATAGCTATCTAATAGATAGTTATAGTATGACATGTTATAATAATTGACTGTGGTTTGTAAATAAGAACTTCCCTTGTAAATACAAACCGTAAGCTGAGTGAAATAATTGTATTCTAGAATTTTTAGTAAGTTATGAAATAATAAATTCTTTAAGTATTTTACTCAGAATAAATTAAAATTAAATAATCAATCATTGTTGTTTCTTTCACACCAAAATTCTGTGTTCATTTGAAAAAGAAATCTGTGAAAAAGATTTTTCTTTTACTTTTTGTGGTTTCGCAATTTTGTTCTCTTCTGGTGGTTTACGAAATTTGCAGATCATTTTTATGTTACCCAATGTAGATTCCAATTCCCTATAAATGATTTTAAGAAGTGAGGAAATAGAAAAAGAAAAAAACTGTTAAAATAAAGTGTATACTTTATTTTACATGTTGAATCCACATTGTAAATATAAAAATTAAATTATTCATATGAACCCTTCAATAATGAAGTTACTTAACTTTGAACGAAATATGTAACATTTAGGTAAAAATATGAATCAAAATAATTGGAAATGAAGATGAAAATAGCATCTAAATATCGTAAACGTAGAATGTTCTTATATTATAGAAAAGTTTCAAAATCAATAAAAGAAAATTAATGAACAGATAGTAACTGTTATTCGTCAGAGGAAATTAATTAATTTGGTTAAAGAGTTACATAATTCTAATAAATATAAAGGTGGTTTGAATTAAACAAAACTTTGTATTTCAATTCGCTTACATTATTTACTATGTAAATAAATAAAACATATTATGTCCATTTTCTTATTATTCTAATCACGTCGTTTAGTTTTACAAATAACCTTTGAGAAAATGAATAGCTATTTGTAAGAACATAGGATAGATCAATGAACTTTTTCTGTAGTATTCATTTGTAAAATCTACCATGTTTTACCGAATAGTTCATTAGTTAGCTGAACAGTTATTAAATATTCGATGTCTCTTCAGTATGATATTTTGTATGTAGACAACTTAGTTTAATTAACTGGTCAATTTATAAAAAATTAAACCAATTACAAGAGAAATCAAAATATTTTAGAGTCAATAAGTATCTGTGATCAAAATAAAAAATCTTATTACCTGAGTGAAGTACAAGGATGATTTATTAAATGATTTACAAAGTTCTAATATCATGAGACTATCTTTATTTGTTAAACTACAGATACTCAGAAAGTTAGATAGAGACCTTTATAAAATATCGTTCATTATATTTAAATAAATCTTTATGAATAGTCTTTGAATGATCGATATAATTATACCATTCTAGATATTCTTGTGCTAGATGAAACAGTTCTTTCATATAATTTGACAACATGAATATCAAATTGGAATAATCATGACATTATAAAAGATAATTAAAAAACCTAAAGATAAGTAAATTTGTAGTGTTGGGTAATATTTCTTGAAACTATTACAAACATCTGATATAAAATGTTAGTCTGCGTGTAATTTACCACTTCACATTTTCTTTTTTGAAATTGTATGAAGTAAATTACGATTTTAGCTGTTTTGTTCACTGAGGTAGATGAGCTAAGTGCAAAAAATATGGAAAACTTCACGGTTTTGCTTTGTAAAACCATTGTTAAACTGCCTAGCTTAGAAAAAACGCCAACAAACGCTTCCGTACACGATGTATATCTTTATCATCATACACAACTTTAGGCAGAGATGAATAGTGACTTGGAGAAAAATATGGGACGCGCATTTTATGCTACCTCGAACTTATCGTCTGAATGTTCTTGTATTCATGAGTGAATGTTCACGCTGGAATTCGCAGCCACTCCAGTTTGCTTCAAACGCCATCGGCTTATCAACTTAGATACTGAGCGCAAATAACTGTTAGCTTGTGAAACGGAGTAGATTTCAATTTATATATTTTGGTTGCTTTAATCTGTCAAATGATTTTCAGGACTGCTAATAATACAACATTTATTGACAAGCATTTTTCAACTGTTTCATCTATATAGTAATAGCGTAGACCATAGTTAGGTTTTTTTCGATTTCTAGGACTCCAAATAACACATAATGCTTCTGTGTATTGAGAACATGCAAAATAATCGGTGAACTAGATGGATATTATTAAAGTGATCAAATTTATAATTAAGTTATAAAGCGGATTAGACAAACATCTACTATCATATTATTCAAAACACCAAATTACTCTTGATCTCATCAATGCATTTAAGTTCATACTGAGTTCTCAAAAATATTATTGATCAAAGTACTCAATTACTCTAAACAGGTAATGACTGAATATTCAGATAAATGTTATCCACTAAACATCCATTATTTAGTAGAATAGCATACCTTCTTCCAAAGATCAATTTCTCATCTTAAAGATTAGAAACTTCCTAACAATATCCAATACAAGCTGTTTTTTGTTCCCCAGGTTACCAATGCATTTTTACATTATTTATACTTATGTATATAAAATTGTGCAATTGTGTCAACTGCCATATTTTGTTTATGGTACAGTATATGTGAATCAGAAAAATGTTTTTATAGTCAAAATTTATGATATTTTAAATCAATTAATTTTTGATGCACATATATACATCTGTACAAATATGTTTATGAAGCGATTATTAAAAGCCTAATAAATAAATCTAAGGATGTTTTCATGTGATTTCGCAAACGATTTGAAAGGTAAAAATAAATGTTTGAGAATATAACAAAATTATATCTAGGACAATCAAATAATTTAGTACTACATGATTGTAGGTAGTCAACAGGAAACCTTGAACCTGTTATTTGGCACTCGTCATTGAAGTATACCTGATATCGTGAAATAACTGATGGTCCTACTTGGATTCACCGTCTCAAATGCCATCACTAAGTTATTCGACTGTTAATAAACCTTCTGTAGGACTCAAAGTCTTACACTTGATAGATCATTGAGCAGTGGTCAATGTTGGCAATTAAAGGACATCAATTGCTTCACGGTAATTGTTTAACTTTACTACTGATATTAGTAGTTTGGTTGTACATGTATCACAAATGATACATGTTATTCATGAGGAAAATTGAAAGTGATGAAACTATGCACGTTAGGTAGTATATATATGTGTATATAGAAATTACCTATAGTTATCGAACATTTGGAGACCAAAGATAACTTTATCTCCAGCTCATCACTGACAAAACTGGATTCGCTATTCACTTTTCTCTCTTCACATCTTACAAGGCAAACTATTCTACATTTTTATGATGTTTTTCATTCTGATAGTAAGTGGAATTCCGAACCAATAAACGACTTATACAAAATCCTCATTTATTGAATTAGTAGTTTTTTCTGCGCATTCTCCAAATTATTTCGTTGAATGAAAGTAGCAAACATGATAAAGATATATTTTAGGTGGAATATTTGATTTAATGAAACATACCAGTCAGGTGGATCTAAAAGATACATTCGTTCCACAGCTTGAACAGCACCAGCATAGTCTTCACTTATTACGCGTACCTCAAATAATGTGGCAACATCCCAATAGTCATTGATTGTGGAGATATTTCCTTTTTGGCCAACACGCAAATTCAGTGTATTACCTAAATAGTAAGAAAGAAAAACGTTTCAATAAATAAGTAGCCATCTTTTGATTGGACTGGTTCTAGAACTACTGAAAGTGGCTAGCTTACATTGAATTTAGGTTTCAGTCCACTTGGCATTACTTCACGAAGTTTTAAGTGGTTAAAATTTTATTGCACTAATCCTACTGTTAACCCTTTCCGTGTAATCTATACTTAAATAAACAACTATTTTTTTTCCTAAATTACTAAAAGCTGATAAATTTATGCTGATTTATAAGATGAGAATCCCCTAAACATTTAAATTTTTAGGTCGTCCGTGATGTGGAATTTATTTCAGTTATATGTTTGTTTAAAGTGTAAAAAAAAACAAATTCAAAATGAAGAACTAACTTATTGCTGCCTACTTTATAGGGCTAAAAGTAATTAAAGGATTTAAATTCCGGTAGTTTAATTAGTCATATCTACTATTCTCTTTAGTACTCTTGCAGTAAACGAGAACTCAAGCGGAAAAGACCATTTAATTATTCAGTACAAATTACAAAGTGTTTTGAGTAAATTCGAAAACTATACATTAAATACACTATTTTCGCATCTTTATTTCAGTTATCCTTTACATACTTCATGATTCTTCCAATCCTTTTATTATTAAAATTACTTTCTGCTTACATTCCTGTACTCATTAATTCTATTTTCTCAATATTCTGCTGTCAGGCATTGCACTTCTGATGGTGTTTCATACTACTTATATCTGCCAACATAAGTAGCATACATCACACTGATTCTTCTGTATGACGTAACAAGATTGTTGTTTTAAAGTTTCATTTTAAATTTATACATGACACCTGAAATGAATCTTAGTCAAAGATCAGTCAATACTTAAAGTGTTGTTAAATTTCAAGGTTACAGCGTTAATAAGTAAACCAGTTAGTTATATCCATCGTAACCATGTTCGCTGGTATTTATTGATTATACATTGGCATGTGATAGCAAAACAGTAGGTTGTGTAATATACGTCAGTACTTTTCACTGTTACTGCAGATTTTACCGTGGATTAAACTATGGGATTCCTCATATAGTTTATAAAGGCTTAAATAATACTTTAATTCCTACTACTCATACATTCAGTAAGTTTACATCTTCCTAAGTAACTGGTTATAAGGCATTTAAAAAATATACAATAAGTAAATGTTTGTTTTAAATAGAAAGTTCTCCAGTGTATTATGAGAAACTTTGACTGCCAAATTATAAGCTTCAGTATGTATAACTAAACACTTCAAAATATATGCTTTGTGAAATTGAGAAATTAACTTGAGAAATTTTATATTTATCAACTTACAAATTTTACGCATCTCTGCACTTGTTTCCAGATCCATTCCTTTGATTACTAAAAGTGTGGCAACATTTACTAATAGATATTCATTTGCATCAATCTTCAGGCCTTCTCGGTAGCCTTGAATAGCTAAATCTAGAGCTTCTTTATCTTCACCATGAGAATCCATAAAACGATCTTTTTGAATACGACCAAACAGACCGTACATATCGGCAGAAGGTTTTCCACATGTTTTCAAGATCTAGATGATAATGAAAGTGAAAAGTGTCATTTGAAATAAACAAAATTTACCCACCATTATGAAAGATTAATATCAAAACAAAATAACCAGAACACTTAATTGGTATTTGGTTTATACATACAGATTTCACCAGTGAAGATAAGCACATGTAAACAGAAGACAATTACTTCATTTGATCGATAATTTTGCAACAAAGAAAATGGTAATGTATACACAATACTGGAATTCAACAATAACATCAATGTTAGTTATCTCTAAAATTACATCTGAATGAAGAATTATTTTATTGCGAATGGTGTTAAGAAATAAAAAACAACACTTTCACATAATTTCTTCTTCAGAATTAAAAAAAGATGTCACATATTGACACTACATTATCTCTTATTGTAACTAAACTAAACTAATCAATATGTGACTGCTGTTTACAACCAATAGTAAAACTATATTTTGTTAATAACATTATTGTGTAAATGAAAGACGTGTAGAGGACAAAAAAAAAGATAAAACAAAGCCATAGCAATAATTGTTGTTATTTTCAAACATACAGGAGTTTGTCTGACTTCAATTACGGGTAACAGCTTATCCACCATTCGATATAGTATTTAATGAATTTTGGATTAGAATATTTCAGATAAATTTCCAGCGTTCGACTGATCAATATTTACATATTCATTCACATAAACATTATATATATATATATTAAAAACTCCAACAAACATTTAGCCTAACTGAACTTGTTTAATATGTTTCAATGAATGTATTCCAAAAAAATTTATTGAGCTACCATTGTGTTACTCTTAGTTATATTTGAATTATTACATAATGTCTAGGTGAATAAATTTCATTTACAAATCATTTAGAGAATTTGAAGTGAAAATTTTTTAAATCACATGCTCATAATTTGTTATTTATGAGAATCTATCATACCAGTTTATGTATGCACATTGTAACTAAGTGAATTCTGTAAGACTTATTGTTCTTTAAATAAATATTTCTACGAAAAATCTTGTCAATTTTATCTTTTTAAAGAAATAATTCTACATTATTTTGAAGATTTAGACATATTTCATTGGAAAACATTTAAATCTAAAGTGTTTACATTTCTCTAAACACTTTTCTTTTGTTAGTCTAAGATATTATTGATTATAGATTTCAAGTTTCTGAACTAATTAGATGAAAATATCACATATCTGTTGAGACCGCATCAAAATCCAAGCATAAAAGTCCTTGTAAACTTGTTAGGAAGAATAAAAAGAAATTAGTCATGGAGAGTGTTCAGTTTTATTAAGATTACGCACCGATCTTAGTCAACCATTGGAATCCTAGAAGGACTGAATAACCGTTTCATCCCAATATGAAAGTATTCAACAGTGAGCACCTAGGACTACACTATCGTAGGCGAACATAGAACCTTCGGTCTCGCTAGCAGATGCTCCAGATCAGTGAGTTGGCATCCAATAACGTATAAGTGTAACTTCAATCAGCCGACAATATTAAGCGTCCACCTTCCGTGGGCTTCGGTATATACCTTCATCTTTCACAAATCTTTCTGAACTCACTTTTTTGAAGTGTGCATAAAGACGCTATTGTGGCAGATCCTCATAACTATTAGGTTATGGGCTTATTTTCTTAAAATGTTTTTTCTCTTCATATCCTATAATCCATTGATATATATATCTATATAATATATCATGTGGTGTTAGTGCGACACCTCATTTAAGAGTCTTTAAGATTTAAAAACTAATTGATAATTTTTTGATCTAGGCTTGTATATTACACTCTCGATATTTTGTCTTGAGAATCATTTTAAGAATAAGTACAATAGTTGTTCATTTAGACTTAAAACCAATGCAGTTATCCTTCTTAAAGAGGTCTTTTCCCTGTATATTTCTGTCAATTCCATATTGCGATATAAAATAATCCTAGAATCATTAAGAATGTCTTTAAGTAGGATTGTTCACAAATAAAGTATGCTCATTATTTCTTAATTTCATTTCAACACTAAAGAGTAAATTTGTATTATCTTCGAAAATGTGACTTACTTCTTCAGTTACAGCTAATGCAGCATCTCGATCACCATTTTTATTCCGTCTATGCAAAGCAAAAGCATACAGATACTGGATCATGCACACATTCAAAATATCTTGATTTAATTTTAAAGCCCTTATCTCTTCTATTAAAGTAACCATAGCATCGAAATCCTAAAAAATGAAAAAAAGTTACATTTAACTTTTAGAAAAATGTGATAATTAAATGAATGAAATAGTTTTAAAAAGGTTGATCATCATTTTTGGCAGTATTTCATATTGATAAAGCATGAAATAACTTTTTGATTTTTTTAATAAACCTAGAATATTTTAGACTAGAAAATGAACAAGATAAATCCGATAAAGACTTTAACGAATGAAATGATGCTACATTCTTACTCTTTTAACTTGGACACGGTTTAATATTTTTTGTAGGTGGAATCAGTATTCAAATAAGACAAATACATCGAAAATTCTCACTTATATTTTTGTATATAAAAAGATTATCATACTGAATAACCATATTTGCAGAAAGCATTCAATCTTAAGTTGAGAATAAACCTGAAATGATTGGTAAGTCTGTTCTACGTGATTTTTAGTGACTCACCGCCAAAATACAAACTAAGATATAATTAGGCACTAGTTTAAAAAATATTGCTGTCTCAAACTGTGATCAAATAAAACAATAATTTATTTTCAACCAACAATTAGAATAACGAGTGTATCAGAAAAATCAGAGCTTTTAGCCACATCAACAATACACTGCTGAAACCAAATGAAATAGATGATAAAACGGGAGAATATGTTTTAGATCATCTAATGCTTTGAATTCATTACTCAGTTGTACTACTTTGGTTAAACTCTTTGGATGAGTGAATGTCTTAATACCTTAATAATATATTAAGTCAGTTGGCCAGTAGTTCTATTCTCTGGAATCTACTTAGTCGAAATTCAAAATATATGGATCAAATGAATACTGAAATGTCGTTTCAAACATTGTGTTATTACTTAATAGTACGAATCGCCACTTACTGAAAAAGAACATTTCTTTAGAATGATATTATTACACAATTATACTGCATATCAATAAAAATGTCATTTCTGTGACCTATTGCTGCTGAGATTCTACAGTGAATTAGATATTGCCATTTTGTCACTCTGATGAACATCAATTAAATTTCTTATCAGACATCTCCCAAACGTGGTTGATAGATTACAGACTAAATCCAATGAAAACACTGTGTTTAAGGCCTGGTTTATTACGTGTTTTAACCACTTGTATTCAGGTTAATTGCAATTTTGCTAGCTGAATACATTATGTTATGTGGATTCATGGGAGACGTTATTTGTTCGTTCACAAACAAATTTCAAAGTAATGTTTTAAATCTCATACTATCTGTTTTATTTGACATTGCATGACTAGTAAGCAAATCAACTCGTTAGTTTTTTTTCTAATTTAAGTTGTTTATTTTTTAAAATTTTTATACCTCGCACTGTCTGTATGATAGTAACAGATTAAGAATAACATCCGATGAAAGCATCCCTGGATAATCCAATCTACGGCGCATTACTCGAAGACGCTGAAAGAAATAAAGACAGGTAAATTAAAAATTGTTTGTTGTAGTTAACATAAAGGAGGAAAAAGATTCAATGCCATTTACTGAGATCATTTAAAACTATTTGAATAGGATCAAATGATAAAAACTCACGAATTGAAATTTGACAGATATTATTCGTGTGTATACTTCTGATTACTATAAGTTATTATAAAATTTAGAATAATAATCTCAGAAAAGCGATTATGACGTCCCTCAGTAACATAAAGATATATCAATTGATGAGACTTTGTAAGATCGCGATTATATTAGTTATTCCGTTTAGCATTCATTTTATGAGAAATTCTTCTCGAATAAAGTTTATTAAATTTTCACTTCACAGTACTAACCCATGTCTACTATGAAAGTCAATTGACGTTTTATAGATTTACTTTCGTTCGAAAGCTCGTAGATAAATTATTACGTTTTATGCAATAAACACTGCCTATTATTACCTTAGTATCGTCAGTTTATGCGCAAATAGTTTGTTTAATAACTATTATTCACATCCATCTGCTCTTGTTAGTTTTCCATCATTGTATTCACTAATATCATTCAAACTGATCAAGTTTTCACTATTTCAAGCTAACTATTCTGTTTGTCGTGGATTTATTTTCATATCATAAACTTCTTTGTAAAATGAAAAAATTCAGATATTAATTAAAATGTTTTTGAAATAAATATTTCACTTTTTAGAAAATGTAGTCAGCTTCCAGATTTTGGATAGCGATGTAGTGGAGCCATATGATGAATATATCTAATATTCGGGAACAAAATGTAACAGAAAACCTTGACCAGACATACCGTTTTTTTGTCTTTCAGTAGGTTTTCAACAAAGTGGAATGGAAAAGTCATGAAAAACATTTAGGTGTACTTAAATACTGAATATTATTTTGGTTAGAATACTGAGACATACAGAAAGACATATGATTTAATCTACTAAGATGGTACCTTATACATATATGATATGAAATACATACTAATCTTTTTAGGCGCTTTAGCAAGACACATCTAGACTATATCAAAATCAATTCATTCAGTATCGCAGCAACTATAATTAAAGAGAAAGAAAGGGAAATTTAGAATAGTTTGTAGTTCTAGGTCATTAATTAAATGGGTCGCAATCTTAGCAACTTTCCAGCGCCAATTTTCAAGTACCTTTAAACACACTTACAGTTCTACTTTCATAAATTCTGATTTATCGACTGCATATATTTAATTAATTTAATCTAATACTGATTGATTGCTGTTCACGTAAAACAATTATATGATTATTAGCTAATCATACAAAACATTTTCGGTATTAGAGATTTTCATTTCTTATAATATCTATGATTTTCGTTGCGTTTGCAACAATAGTTACAAGTAACCATTGCAAAAATGACTTATTTGGAGTAAGAGTTACTAAGTTTGTGATATTCATAATCAACTGCCATTTACTGTACAAAGTAGTCTTAATATTGATAGTTCGACTATATACATAAAAGTTGCATAGTTGTATTAAACAACGAATATGATATGAATCCATCATTTTTTAATCTTTTATTTTGTCTGTGGTCATGTACAGTAGCAAATATTCCGGTAGATACGAAGTTAGTACATTGTCTGACCCATAAATCTGATGTGACCAGAGACTTGGAGCTGATTTAATTTTGCTATATTACTTTTTTAATTGTTGTTACGTTGTTATCAGAACGCCATCCAGAGTACCAGTGTAAATAATAAAGCGTAAAAGCATTGGAGTAAAACTCAAGTTTTTGCATAAGGGAATAAATGGTATTTAATAGATTTTAAAGTCATCTGTCTAATAACTACGTGGATTGAGACACTAAGATTGTAGTCATAAATAAACTAAACTGCCAAAATATTCATGAAAAGTTAGGAGCCGTTTATGAAAACAAGGCTTTGAATAATAATAGGAATAATCACTAATTTATTAAGTTTGTATTCTGTCGGCTCTTTGATACATACTAAAAGTGGACAGTGTTTATTTTCCGGATTTTAACGCGAGGGCAGAATTCTTTCAGTTTTTAAGTGATCCATCAATGAATAAATATCAGAGAGCTTTTGAATAATACATTATTGACTGACACACACATTCTTATGCAGATTGCCTCGATGTAGTCTATACCAAGGCGATCCGCACAGGATGCGTATATGTCAACGAGACTGATCAATTGTAGTCCTAATAACAATGGGAAGATGCAAATAAAACAAAATCAAGTGAATTTAGTTTATTAGTGTTTTATTTGTTGGTAATGAAAATAAATAAGAGATAAAGTCCATGTCGGAATCCCTTATTCACATTATTTGAGGTAGATATTACCGCCTTTACTGCTGATTGAAATGTGACAGCGTTTGGATTATGAGTAGATTTATTTGGTGTTCGGGCAGTTAGTGTCAGGCAGTTCATGTTTTTCCATTGTTCAATAGAAACTTTATACCTCACATTAGACTTTAATATAAAACTATAAATATCTGTGATATAATCAATGAATTCTCCTACATGATTAGTGGATATAAATTTTAAAATAGAATAAAATGTAACGGATAATTCGACACTAAAATTTGAGTGAAAATTAATTCAGTTTTTTGGTCATGTATGCACTCACATTTATTATACATTAAATATTTTTAGTAATAATTGTCTATTTATTTTTGTTTGTGTAGTCAAGTTACTTCAGAAAAATGACTTGTAAATACAAACCAGCTGCATTCATGCATTTGGCTTGAGTGAACCTGTAAGCTCATTTAAATTTCATTTATGGCTCAATAATCATCTGTTTTCATTTGATTAGCTATAATGGACTCCTTTAATTTGTTTAATCTTCATTAGCATAAATTCTTCACACTATACTAAACACGAATAATTTGTTGCAGCTTGGGAAATCAGCCTACATTATACTAAACAGTCCTAATAGTATAGCGCCCATTAATCCATGTCTGCCTTTTCTGTACAGATCATAGTCTTAGTGAATTACATTGTGCGATGAGTGTATAAATTTATTTGTAGTATATTGAACGATGGGTATTGTCTATTTCTGTTGTATTTTCAGACACTTTTTCAGTACCTTACTGATTACAATGATAACAGAATAATAAAAAATTAGTTCTATCAGTGTTTGAGTCACTGTAAGGTTTAATAATCTTATTGCTCACAGGTATGTATCTTCACGTTTCCATACTCTAAAATCCTGATCATTCTTTTGTGCTGTTTAATGATTAATAGTCGATGAGTACGATATTTATCAAATTATGGTTCAGAAAAATTTTTTAATCTAGGCTGATGTTACGCACAATTCCGCCTAAAGCTCCTTTTAGGCTACTGCCGGTCCCAAGCTCGGATAAAGGAGGGTTTGGCAACACTGTGGATCATTGTGGAACAGTCAATTGAACGGAATTCATCACTCTACATCAACTTCATTGACTACGAGAAAGCATTTGATAGAGTGAACAGGACAACATTATGGAAGCTTCTTCGGCACTATGGCGTGCCCGAGAAAATAGTCAGTATCATACAGAATTCCTATGATGGAAAATCGTGCATAGATTACAGCTCACAGACTCGTTCGAAGTAAAGACCGGTGTCAGGTGATCGACTACATCATGAAAACGTCAACATCTGCAGGGAAGCATGGGATGCAGTGAACATCTAAGATGGGGCTGGATGATCTAGACTTCAAGAATGATCTGACAACTCTATCGCACACGCGACAACAAATGCAGGAAAAGACAATCAGTGTAGCAGCAGCCTCAGTAGCACTACGTCTCAACATACACAAAGGGAAAAGCAGGATTCTCCGATACAACACATCATGCAACAATCACACTTGATGGAGAACTTTTGGGATATGTAAAAACCTTTACATATTCGGGCAGCATCATTGATAAACACGGTGGATCTGATGCAGACGTGAAGGCGCGAATCGGCAAAATAAGAGCAGCATATCCACAAATGAAGAACATCTGGAACTCAAAACAACTGTCAACCAATACCAAAGTCAGAATTTCCAATACAAATGTCAAGACGGTACTACTGTATAGGACGGAAACCCGAAGAACTAAGAGAGCCATCATCCAGAAGATACAAGTGTTTATTAATAGTTGTTTACGCAAAATACTTCAGACTCGTTGACCAGACATTATCAGCAGCAACTTATTGTGGAAGAGAACAAACCGCAAGGCCAAAGAAAAAGAGGAAGACCAAAAAACACATTACGTCGAGAAATGGAGACAAACATGAGAAGAATGAACAACAGTTGGATATAACTAGAAAGGGAGGTTCAGAACAGAGTGGGTTGGAGAACGCTGGTCGGCAGCCTATGCTCCATGGCGGGGGTAGCAGAAGTAAGTAAGTAATATGTTACGCTCAAATTCAGACAAAACAATTTTTTCTTTGCATGATACAAATTGTTTCCTGCGCTTCAAATAATTTTTCGATGCAATGTTCTCTTAAATTCACACGCCAGTGTTATTCCCGTGATCAACTTTACTTGTACGCTTTATGGACCATCATCTCTTTCTTGAAGAACACTGGGAATACTTAGTTTTTAATTTGCCAAATGTTGCATAAAATCTGTGCTTGTCTCATTGCAACAAACGATTCGGACTAAAAATGAATTATCGAATAACGTTCCTAATTCTTTCATTGATATAAAGGTACGTTGATCATCTCGAAGTTTAAAATAACTAGTAACCAAACTTTTATAAGCAGTATCTTGTAGTAAAGCCACTATCATCTAGCTGTGACTTATAAACTTATTGGTTTATTTAAAGTCCATAATTATTCCTTAATGTTTATGAGAGATAGGCGTCCATCGTGAAAACTACGTTTATTATGCAGATTTCTTTTCATTAAGACATCAAAGGAAGCGTTTTAAAGTGCTGTTAAGAAGTGTCAAATTATTACTGATCAAGGCTTGATGAAGCAACGAGAATATTAAAGAATTTGATAAAAAGGTGAAAATGCACAGACAGTTATTGTTTTTCTACCTGAGAGAGACATAGGTTGATTTATATTTTAAGAGATCTTACATTCATTATTGGGGATAAAATATAATGATATTAATTTGCATTCTGTTGCCGATTAAAATATATTATGACCTGTAATTATGTTATTTTGGTGACCTAGTTTTTCAAAGTGATGGTTTTTGATTAACGTAAACATCTAGTTGTTGTACAACTTAAAACTAAAAACGAGTCCTATTTAGTATTGTTGGTTTGTGTATTTCCATTAAAATACTCTTTTCTGTAAGCAATACACTAACCTCTCTGAGTTCTTGCCCTTTGTACAAATCGCGATCCCTTCGAAGATCCTCAATGAATTTATCTTTTAGTGGAGCCCTTGAAAACACAAAAAATTAAGACATTATATGTTCGCTATTCATAAATATATTATTGATAAGTGTATTTTAGTGGTTAGAAAGTTTAGATGACCTTTCGCTTTCAGTTAGCAAAATTATAGAGCGTACTGGTATGTGACTGAGTTGTTTAACTTGTCACTTATAGACTTAATCAAAATTGTTGAGTGTACCCTTTTACATCTTCGGTGAACTAGACGTTGTTGTTCAGCTATCAAATACCATTACATAACGGGTTTTTTACAGCGGTTGTACGAAAAGTTTTTTTATACACTTATTGGTTGTATTGATAAATTCATAGACAAGCTATCATAGATACAAATTTTGTTTAATTTATTTAAAACTGGATATCTGTCACATAGGTAATTTAGTGTTATTTTATGATGGAAATGTAGAATATGGTCAGGATTTCTGTTTTTTGTACAAATTTGACACAATATATTTTATAAGTTGTAAGCCGGTCGAATCAATTTTTGAGAGTTGAGGAAACGTCGAATTTATCAGAACTTTTGTGTTTCGAAAAAATGTTTTCCCAATATTAGTTAGCAAGATGGGTTTGAATCGCCTTCATTTCACGAGCATTATTGCAAACTCATCGACGGTTTGATTTTTTTCGCAATAAAAACACTGAAGTGAAGGCATGTTTGTTTATTATAATAAATTTCCTTCAAGATTTAGATTGAGAGTTATCTCGGTCAGTCTACTATTTAAAAGCATGAACTTATAGAATGTACTTATAATGATAATTGTAAACATGCAATGTCTGATTAGAGAAAGATGTATGTGGACACGACTCGCTAAGTTTTGTCTACCTTTAAGGTACCGAAGTGCCTTTCTGAAGTATGAGCTATCTGTTTTGCAGCATACAAGTTGATGGATGGCACGATGTCTAGAGGCATGATCAACTTATGTATAAAGACATTATGAGCAATTTCCTGTAAGGAGTATGCTTGACATGAGCTGTGAAAGCATGAATGTACTATTGCTGAATAGAATATATGCTTTAAGTCTAATTTTATCACGCTCTAGTCTAAAATTAGTCTAAAATATATTTTCGGAGAACTTACCGATCACCACTGCACATTTCTGAAAGTATTTCCTCTAGCTCTTCAGACAAACGCCCAAGATCGCCGCATATTTGATTTTTGAGTATGTCATTATCAATGAGGGCATTCTGTAGGAACTTATCTTCCACTAAGACAGCAAATCCATTTTCGTTAATAACATATGGAAGAAGTTTTGTTTTGCTACTTAAAATACTCTAAAACAAGTTAAGTAAAGATTAAAACCTACGCGTAGGTCATCAAGCAAAATATGACTCGAAAGATTGACGATTACTATATTATCGAACAGTTTTAAACTTTCTCTAACTCCTAATTGATAATTCAAATGTCCTTGTTGTGTCTATGTATAAACAATGAAATTACGTATTCATTCTCCGAACCTTGTCACTCATATCAACAATAAGAACGTCGGAATTGTAAACGAAGTCCAGCGTTTCTGTGAGTCCATGTGATACTTCTTCATATGTAAGGAATCGAACAGTAGCTTGAACACTTCAATAACAAATTAAATAATTTTAGTGAGACACACTTGTTGCAAGCAACACAAATTTCTTCAATAGCTTTATCCTGATCGAACTGGATATTCACACTATTCTTATCTTCTGATATACAGGTAACCAGCATATTGGAAACGAACGACTATTTCAAAAGTCCTGTTCATGAACTCGCGCAGAAAAGTCATGAATTAACCTATCAAAACAAATTCATCGTAAGTAGGAAAGTAATTCAATACTGGTTGAAATTTACTGCGAAATTTATTCTTGGACAAAGATGAGTGGCTTGCCAAGTTCATTGTTTCTCGTTAATTTTAGTATTGTGACTTTTATTATACAATGGGACATACACTTGTCTATATGTGATTGGCTATCCGTCTTTTCTTATGAACATTCTGAAGCACATAAAGTGCACTACTCTATTGATCTCCAGAATGTAAGGTCAGGTAACGATAGGCTGTTTGTTTAATATGTCTGTCCGAACACTTGATTTCTAGACTACAGATTTTAACATGACGTTAAATATGTTTTTCAAAGAGATTCGATGATCTATATATTTACTGTTGATGATTTACATAATGAAATGTTACGTGATCTTTACAATTGTCATTAGGTTTCATACGGCTGGTAATTTTATGACAGGATCTGATTAAAAAGTTGAAAATATTTTCCGTCGTCAACAAATAAATACAGCAAGGATTGTTGTAACTGTTTTAGGAAAGCCTTTAGTAGTTGTATAAATCCAGTTTTTCGCCTTGTTGACGTCATTTTGAGGAGATATGATAACATCTGTCAGGATGGCCGTTCGGTCGCGGAAGTTCGGTTAAAGGTACGTGTCCTAGTTGGTTTTTACATTGATTCGCCACTAATTGCCACCTAGATGCCAAATACGGCCGCTTCTGAGAAATGTGTGTATCAAAGAGTACCGTGGGTCGATTGAGCGATGAACGTTTTCCAAATCTACAATGCTATCACAGTCTTTTCGCTGTCATTCCAAGCTCTTCGAAAGTCCGTCGGTATGGATTTGAGAATGGAGATTTTATTATTATATTTCTGTGATATCCATCAGTGTGTCTATCTTATCAGCTTTAAATGTTAGAAACTAGTACTTCACATAGTATTCCCTGTATGATGCAGTTCTCTGTGGAATAGGTTTCTACTATTTATAGGTAATTGTGCTTCTGTCACTAGTTTTTAAGGATAATAATAACCCGGTCATCAGATTGTAAGAGGTTTTGTTAATTTCTTCCCTAGATTTCTCATTCAATCCAGGAAATCTTCTTGACGGACCGCTTATTGTCCAATTTAATTCATTAGCAAACTAATGACTTCATCAATATATGGCTTTTCTGTTTTTATTTAAATATGGAATGGGATACACAGTGTTTCTCCCTCACTAAACCCAATGGTTTAAGTTCTTGATCGACTGTTCCTATCCTCACGTCCGTTTGAGTTTCAACCACTTTTTCAATGAGGCTATATATTCTTTTTGATTTCTACTTACTTTAAAATCGCAATCACACACAATCACACACTTTTCGTGATTAGTCATGGTCCACTGTTTTTGCATACGCCTTCTCAAATTAATAATCATGTGGTCGTAATCTTATATTTTATGACTTTAGTCAACTACATGAACATTTAGCACATGATAAATGTTCTAGCTGTCTGATTGGTTTGTAACACGGTACTTGTAGGCACACTGTAAATCGGTAGGACGTGCAACATCTGCTATTCTTCTGTTACTTCAGACCTGCTCTACTGTGTCACAATTCACCAAACTTCTTGTTTGGTTACTTTTATTATTCTGTAGGATTATGGCCTAAATTCTTTATTAGTACCGCTCTAATGATGGACCTAATCTTAAAATTCTAGATTGGTCATAAATGTGACTACCTACCTACCCACCTACCTACTTGTAAGTCACATCACTGTTTACGCCGACTCCTCGTATCGTAACAATTAACAATATGAAGCTTGAAGATTGTATAATATATTTAATGTGAATAAAGACAGGTTGTACGGAATGACCACGTCTGCGCGGCTGAGCCATGGTATCTGGTTGAATGCATGAATATTCCTGCGTTCACTACTGTTGGCTTTCTCACTGTGTCAAATGTTGAATTTTTATTTTCCCAGTTATATCATGTTCAGATGTGAAGATTGTGTGGTTAGGACCAATACCACTACATGTCTGTAGTTTTTTTATGGATGTTTCGCTGTATCTTTAGAGAAGATTTAAAAGTCTTTCTGCTGAGTAAACATTCACCAATTTATTCCATTCTGAAGAAATAGGCTTCATAGCCATTTGTCTTGTTGCTCCACCTTGGTTCCATCTTTTATGTATTTACAGCCAGCAGCCATGTATCATTTACCTAAACGTTTGCCAGATATACGTCCTTCAACGTCACCATTTGTAAGATAGTTTCTGTTAAGGATGCTTTGGAAGAAATACTCAACTTATGATACAATTCTATCACACAAATTTATTCAATCATTCGTTTCTATATCGCTAAATATTTAGTTGAGAAATCTGACTGATTCGACCTTGTTAATATCCCAGCGGAGGAAATGTCTTAGTTGCCGACTCATGATGTAAATTGTGGTTCATAACATTACCTTGACATGCCAAAATAAAATATTACTTCATATTAATAATAGTATATTTACCGAACAGTTATGTGTTGTTTTACATTGCAAACAACTCTTCACCTTGGTTGCTTTATTCTTCGAAATCCAGTTTAATTTTATAGCATCTAAAAGCCACCCCGAATTCACATATTACACAAGAGGTTTACTTAATTACATACATCTGTTACCTATCGAGGATGAGCATACGTCACCCTCAAGCACCTTCCATCCAACTCCTCCCTGGACAATCCTTTCCAGTCGCTATTCATCTTTTTTCATGTCTGCTTTCATTTCCAAACGCAATGTGTTCCTTGGCCTTCCACGTTTTCGTTTTTTTTCAAGTTAGCTCTTGCCTCCTGATATAGTTTGGTAATTCTCATGATGTTTGTCCATCCAATTCCGACGTCTTTTCCTAGTTATTTCTTCATCTGGAAGCTGCTTTGTTCTCTCTCACAGTAGGCTGTTGCTGATGATACCTGTTCAACGGACATTTAGTATCTTTTGTAGACAATTGTCCACGAATACTTGTGCCTTTTTGATGATGTTCTTCAAGTTTCATCTCCATACAGTAGAAGTGTCTTGGCGTTCGTAATGAAGATTCTGAGATTGACATTGGTTGACAGTTGCTTTGAGTTCCATATGTTCTGCTGCTAAAACCATAGCGTCGAAGAAGGATCCATGAAATTCTCATATCCACGCAATAAAATGCTTTCTCATAGTCAAGGAAGTTGATGTACAGTCACGAATTAAATTCATTTGATTGTTCAAACATGATCCGTAGTGTCACCATTTAGTCTATACACGACCTGTCGTTACGGAATCTGGTCTGTTGATCTCGAGGTTGAATGTCAACTGAATTAATTATCCAGTATAATAACTCTCGGTTGAAAATGTTTCCTGTTATCGACACATTTTTCTTTACTTAATCTCCTCGAATAGAATGTGCAGCATTTTTGCAGTTATTTATTTTTCTGACTTCAGTGCTTCAGACCATATATTGTCAGGTCCTGCTGCCATTCCAATCTTGATTTGTCTGATGGCCAGCCTGATTTCTTCGATCTTTGGTGGTGTGAGAACTACAGGAATGTCTTTGTGTACTGATTCGATATTCGCCGGGTCCAATGGAGCTGGTCTGCTCAAAACTTCCCCAAAGTGCTCTGCCCATGTGCACCTTTGTTCTTGAATCTCAGTGATGGTCTTTCATTCTTTGTCCTTGAATTATATACTCTCTGAGTGGTTTAATTTGTTTATTCTGGTTGCCTTTTTTTAGCAAGAGTATTTTTACAAGATGGGGATGATGACCTCACGCCCAACCCTCCTCTGTTATTTGGGCTTCAGAAATGCAGTGGCCCTAGATGAGCTACAGGCGGAGTTCCAAGTTTACTAATACTTACAATATTCTTACGCACCAAAATGGTTTTCCATGTTTCTATGGAAAATGTATGTTACAACATGTATATCACTTTAACGTTGTAAGAATTCGATCTTGCTTATGAACTAACATCTTCAACGTACATTATTGTAACTGATATGTAGTGTTGCATCGAGTCGCGGTTGACTATGATCACCACTACAGGAAGATTACGTGCCAGTTAACTGATGAGATCCCCCGTAGGCCAAATATCAGAAGTCAGTTGGTGGCTGTAGTCGAGATGTATTTGTTGGCGAACTCGTGGTATCGAAAGAATACCGAGATCGTGACAGGTTATAAGTGTGGTAACTGAGCGCAACGGAATTTGTGCAAGGTCACAATCAACGGTGCAGTTAAACAAACAATTACGGTAAAACAATCTTTGGTACAATGGTTATAATAATACTTTTTTCCATTACACCAATCGCGTTCTCTTGATATAGTAGGTCACTACAAATACGTGCAATACTGTTGGGTACTGTGTTTGTTGGTTAAAAGTTAATCGATAGTCTTCTGTATTCAATAAGACATCGGTAAAATGGTATACGACTTCTTTTTATAGAGGTAATACATTTTAAATTTTATGTTGACTGAAGAAACGTCTGGTCATTTAACGCAACGACCACGGTCCCACCTGTTTCCCGTACTATGCGACAAACCGTCTGATATTTATTTTGATGTCCTCTCATATGACAAAGGTAGATATAAGTACGACGGTTCATGTGCTAGTTTCAGCTTTGGCTTTAGACGCTTGTTTCTTCTGAAGGTGATGACTCAGTACTTATATCTGCTGAATTTTATTTGCTTGAGTCAACTACTAGATTGCGGCCAGCCGTCAAGTCTATATGTATATTAGGCGTCAAGGCACTTGAAGTGAATGTTCAGCGAACATATGCAGGAGTAATGATAAAATCATTTAAGACTGATTCATTTTAAGGATCAGTGCAGATTATTCAAAAAGGAATCACATATTAACACCATCGAGGGGCTTCTTTGAGATCTTTCATAAAGTGTCTGTTCATGTTGATTGAGATGGCTTTTAATTATTTTGCAGGAATAGAGGACGAGTTAAGGAAATTTTGTATGTTGGGCGTTTGTTGTTTAAGAATACTAATATA